TCATGTTTCTTAATTAAAGAAACATGTAGGACAAGTTGATACTTCCACCACATTTCCTTTGCAAGATGAAGTCAACAAAGAACCTGAATCTATTTTGGTCTGTATGATTGTGAGACGCAAGGATGGAGTTGTGACTAAGGTTCTAGTCAAGTGGAAGCATCTACTTCCTGAAGATGCAACTTATGAGTTCTACGATGATTTACTCGAGATTTCCATCTTTGAGGTCAAGGATGTTTTCAAGGGGACGATGTTGATATAAATCAATTAGAATGTTAGTTATAATTTTATTAAATCTATTAAGCACTAGTTAGTTAGTTACTAGGATTAGATATAAATAGAAGAATAATTAGAGTTGTGGGGGGATAATTGGAATACTTTGTAATTTCCTCTTTTCCTGTAAACTTCATTCAATAATAATTTTTTAGAGTCATTTCTGATCATTGACTTCCTAATTTTCACATAATTTTTTTATTGAATAATCTCCCTACAACTATCTCTCTTATCACAATCTGGGTTCGACAATGGCTTAACTAATTGATACAACATGGTTGTAGTTTCAAAAGATTGTTAATTATACTTCCAGAATTATATTTAATGTTATTGATTTCAAAAATTAAATTTTAGAAAAGAGGTTTTTAAATATGAATTTATCATCTAAATCTTAAACAAATTAGATTCACTTAAAAAGATTAGGTAAAATTAGTCTTTTTATCCTTTAATTTTAGAGTAAAATTTGATTTCATCATCTAACTTTTTTTTATTAATTTTTGTCCTCAAACCTTTTTTTTTTTATCCATGTTAGCCCTTTCCATTAGCTCTAATACATGACCTAACAGAAATATCCTAAGTGGCACTGAGATGGCCTTAACACCTTTTATTTAATTCAACGTCCACTTTTTTATTTAACTCCTCACCCTTTTTCCCCCAACCCACCAATCCTTCTCCCCCTCCTGCAGCTCCTTTTCCTTTCCCACAGCTTCTCCTTTTTCTCGCAACACCCTCTCCCCTCCCCTCCTACAACCCCGCATTCCCTCCTTTCCTTCTTGTTTCCTTTTAACTCTCTCAAGTCTTCCTTCTCTCCTTTCATTCACATTCTCACATCCCCTTTTTCCCTCGCTTGCAGTCGCCCTAATAAACCTCCAGCAAGTGAGAACATTGAGTACAAATAACTAAAAAATTGTTAATCAATTTGATGTTTCTTTGTATGTTTTATTTTGGAATATACTCTATGGATAATTTGAACTACATGTCATTTAGCACAACATGGGGAAGCATATTGCTTTCTAGGCTCTTTGGTTTCATGTGCTTACGTATCACTTTATTTTTTGTTCTACTATTTTACAATATTGGGTTCTCTTTTAAACATTGAGTTGGATCATGGACCTTAATTTTATTGCAATTTATTTTTGGGCCAGTTTCTGCGCTCTTTTGCAATTATAGTTAAAAATTATTTGTGGTTCTTACATTGCTTAAATTTAAATTCCACTCATACTAGAAAGAATCGAAGGAATCTTCTCCTCAGAAATTAAAATTATTGGATGAATGCAATTGACTAAAATTTTGGTAATTAGAAACAAACTTATAGCAAATTAACTCCATAAATAGTGCATGAAAGATTTGGGATGGTAGTACACATGTTTTGTTCTGCTAGAAAGAGAGTTGAAGGCTTGGAAGATTTAGAATATCAAAACTTGTGAGAGAAAAAGAACGAGATGAGAGGAGGAAGGTTTGGGAGAGTTGAAAGAGAACAAAAAAGGGAGGAGGGAACGTAGGCTGTGAAAGGAGAGGGGTGTTGTGAAAAAGGGTAGGAGAAGTTGCGAGAAAGAAAAAATGAGCTATGGAAGGGGAAGACAAAGCTGATGGATTAGGGAAAAAAAGATGGGGGAGGAGACGGAGAAAGGGAAAAATTCATCATTTTTTAAATAAAAAAGTTCATGTTAAATTAAATAAATAATGTTAAAATCATCTCAATGCTACCTGTAATATTTTCGTTGGTCATATAATAGAATTAACATGAAAAAAAAAATTTGACAACAAAAATAAAAAAAAAAGGCTAGATGATAAAATCAAATTTTACATTAAAGTTAAGAGAAAAAAAATTAATTTTATAAAAAAATTAATAAAAATAAAAGTATATTAACTTTAAAAAAATTAATCCTTATATTATTAAGGATACTTATAAAAAATAAATTAAAAAAGATTAAGAAAAGTTGCAAATAAAAAAAATCTCATTCTCTTATGGGTCAAATTGTTCATGGAAGCCTGAAGAGAAGAGAGAGAGAGAGAGAGGGAAAAAAAAAAAGGCTAAAACAATCCAGAATTGCGGTTGCGCCTGTAGACTTCGATTTATTTCCATTTCGACCCAAAGAAAATGAAAATACATTTCTTGACACTGAAGCGGAAAAGTCTCCTCCTGGCATTATGTTGCCAATGACAGTGGCCACGTTAATTAAATAAATATATTATGGAAATATATTTATTTAATTAAATTTTATTGTTTTAGTAGAATTAACAGTGAAAAATTGATTGGAAGAATTGATGATAAGAAATTTAATTTTTGTTTGAAAGGATATCTTAGAAGTTAATATAAAAGGTCATTCGGAGTAAGTTAAAATTATGTTGAAGTATAAATATAAGTAGGCTTTGTGACTTGTGAGTTACGTACATATTAATTCTATCATCGTAAATTCAATTTTAAAAATCTGAAATTAGGATAAACATTCATTACACTTCCGTGCAACTCCATTTTTAACTACCGAAATCGTAATTCCGAGGGTATCTAATAATCCAAACAATAACTAAATTTAGTTATTTACCATACTTGTGGACAAGTTTGATCTAGAGTTTAATCTATATTGAAGTTATTTAATGGGCTAATCCAACTCATTACTGTCATTATCACTACTCTCCAGCCACAGTTCCAATTCACATTACACAAGCATGAAAAACATATTTTTAAATATTTTTTTTTTTAATTGAAGATGAAATAAACTGTCCAATCCAACCAAAAATGGCAAGTTTAATTACATCTTTCTATGATGCCCTTTTTTTATGTCATATTTTTTTTATCAGTAGTCCAGGGGTACAATAAAGTGCATAATTAATACAATTCGTGTTAAATATCGTAACTTTTTGTGTTTCTTTTTAATTTGATCATACTGATAATGTAAAGGGTTTTATACAATTATTTAATTATGTGGTATGGAAAGGTTTACAAAAGTTAAATTTTTTAATGAAAGTAAAAAAAAAAAGGTTGCATGAAGGGAATGTGAAGTTGGGGTGTAATGATGATCTGAAGAAGCAGGTGAAAAACAGACCATGAACGTGACAGAGATGTATAGTGATGATAAAATATTGGCAGTGCAGTGTACAGCACAGCCTGCCCTCCACGTTCATCAATTTAACCAATTATACTATCTTGTTTGGACTATGTACAAATTCTTTGTTCATAATTTGTTGTAAAAAGTCAAGGTTGCTTAAGATGGAGACATATATGCTTCAATCTATTTTTCAACATTTTCTATAGTGCGCTTTCATGTCATGGGGCCATCCTCTTTTGTCAAAAACATGTCTTACATGCAAATGGCGAACAGTTTTCTTTTCTTGAACCTACGTTTAGCTGTTATGCTTTGAAACAGCGTATGTAATTGCAATTTGATTCTCTTTTCAAATAACTCAGAATTTGTACTCTTATTCTTTGCATTACTTCAAATGCAAGTACTGAGAGAACTTGAGGAGTAAGGAGCCCACAATTTACCCCTTCATCCGTGTCATCTGTGCAATAATTATTGATGGTAGTTCATACAATGTCGTCTAAAACCAATTGATTGTCATACTGTAAAGTGAAAGTGATGTTTGCATCAATTTCCCTCCCATTCTCCTCAAATTCATCTTTTTCTTACCTTTTTCTTTTGTTAAGGAGGAGAAGGGGGTTATTAAGATAGTTACAGTTAAGCTTTCATATTCCTCAGACAGTGTGATTGTCTCGTTGACAAAAGATGTTTACTCAATGCTTTTCATTTTTAATCATTTTTGGGTTAATTATTGCTTCATTCTTTTCTGTAATTATTTTGAGTTTTGGGGATAAATGATTAGCTGAAATGTGTGGTCTTGTACGTTTGATTTAAACATTAAACTTGGGAGATGGTAACAGTCACGGGCACTTGACACATCACAAAAGTTACGGTTTTTTTCCTTAACCAGGTTAATTTTGGCTTAACATGTGGAACAAAAGTGGTCTACATCACTGCTTTACTATCTTTGTTTCTTTTTCCCTATAAACTCGTTTCTTTCTTCACTTGAATCATGAATGTCCTACTACTGCTTAGCTGTAAGATGTCAAGCTTTCATTCTCCCGCGCCCTTTTCCTAATTATTTATTATATAATAATCATTACTACTATTTTACTTGTGCTTTTTTCATTTTTATTTTTTGGGTTTCTTATGCAAGGTATGAGTTGGTATTTGCACGATATTGCAGCAGCCTTTTCTCTTCTTTTTAGATCTTTTAATCAGCGGAGATTTTATGAGATTATGAAAGATTCATAGCGTAATCTTTCTCATGATTACATTTGAATGGTTATGCTGGAAGCAAGGGGGATTCTAAAACATTAATGTTACTATCAGAGAGAGACTTTAGGCTTTAATCCTCAAAGACGTGCTCCTGCCTCCAGTTTCTTTCTCATCTATAATATTCCCCCCACCTCCCAACCTCGTGCGTATCTCCTTTCATTCGGTGTATTACTGTATTGATTGTAATTATGTATATGGTTATCATGAAAATTATTGTTTCTAAATGCATATAATTATTAGATTGATATACATGAAAGGAATGTTGTCATTTCTAATAGGAGTGGTTGGAAATTATTGCTAGCACTTGTCCCACCAAGAGTCACTATTCATGTGACTTAAAGGCTTGGATTAACTACAACCACCTAGATGAAATCCAGCCTTAAATATGACTACTTTTGGTTTTAAAAGCAGAAATTGAAAATTCATGTTCTGGTTCTCCGGACAGCAAGGCCCATTCTTCTTTATTTCTTTAAGTTTGCTTCTTCTCACAAGGTATAGTATTCAATAAGTTAGGCATCAGGATCATCGACATGGGAACATAAATAGAAAAGTGTACCAATAGGATTATCATAGACCGTTGTCTTTACATTTTCTAATGGGTATAAAGCTAACCGTGCTCAGTATCATGTTTCTGTGAAGCATAATAGCATAAAGTGTGCTCTTGCCTTAAAAAGATGGCAGTTAAGAAACTGGAACACCATACTTCAAGGTGATCCCATATCATAAAGAAAAATTGAAAGGCAAGTTTGTTCTCTTAAGTTAATTTGCATTATTTCTGTTTACTTGCTAGAAAATGACATATCAGTCTATATTGACATGGAACCACTTATCTTCAAGGATGGGCATTGTGCTAATCTTTCTCTTACTGTCTTAATGGCATTTCTAATGCTTTATTATAACCTATTATGCTGCATTTTCTGGCTCATTTCAACTCTTTGCATCTTTCTTAAATATTTTTGAGAGCTGCTGTTTGCATTTATCATGTCCTTCAAAACTAATCAATGTGTTTGGCATTTCTGCAATTTGTTTTTGTGAGGTAAACTTCTTTTTAATATCATGATTATAAGACACTACTTGGCCATGCATGCTCTAGTAGAGCATTTAATGTAATTACCATAGGCCGTCAATATTTTCTTTTTACTTCATTACTGGAAGTATTCTCATTATCTGCCTTCTAAAACTTCTCATGGTTACTTCTTCTCGTCCAGAGTCAATGACTTACAATGAATGCCTTTAAAATTTACCAGCTCGTTAGCTCTACATGTGCTGCTTTCATTTCTTACCACTCTTTCCTGTTTTTGAATCATCTCATATTTGTGGAAGCTAAATAATGAATTTACTATCACAGTTTTGACATCTAGTCTTAACCGAAAGTCACCTGATGATTTATGAGCACAAAGAGTTATCATGAGCTTGGAGATGTTTGTATCTTCCCTTCGATGATTTTGATTATGGAATAGAATGTTACCCACGAGTAGAAAATAAGAGATAAGGAAAAGAGAAAATTGTTGTAAAATGATTCTTAAGAAATATTTGATGTTAATTTGCTCTTAAATTTTTTTCCCATTTCTACTATGAACTTGGCTATTTACGAGACGATTGATGCTTTCTTTTTTTATTTGTTTCAGGATAGATTTCTCTTCATATATATTTAAAAGAGATCTCGTGAGTCACAGCCTTGTCTAAGTTGGCTTCCATGATGCTTAAGGTTATGGTTACTCACAACCAGTGAATCTTTTTTTTCTCCTTAGAAGAACAAAACAAGACTTGACAGATTGAGAAGGGAAAATATCTAGTGACATCTACCAACCATGAGCGATTTAAACACTGAAAGATCAAAGCCATGGAACATATATCCATCTTCAAACTCGGGTCCATCACAAACGGGGTTTGATGAGGAAACTCCATGGAAAAGCTTAGGAACATCTATGAGTGCTATTTCTTTTGGTTTTGTTGCCACGGCCATTTTGATTTCAATGTTTCTTATAATGGCCATATTTGAACATTTGTTCAAACCGAGTCCACAATTTTCCACGCCACAATCTATGCTGGCAAGTAGTTATCAGGACCACTCAGTACCAACCGTAAAACAAGGAAATGCCCAATCAGTAAGTCTCTTCATAATACTTTAGTTTTATTCCCTATATGATGGTGTTTCTAGAACCTGGCACTTATCTGCTAATTTAACAATATTTTTATGCTTGGGAAAAATAATTAACCCGTGTTAGTTAAGAATTAGAAAATAATTATTCACTTTCACGAAGGCTTAAAACTGAATATATCTAACTTTATTTCTGTGATAAATAACGTTATTTGCTTTAGAATTGAAGGATTTATTTTTAAATAAGGGAGAATAACCTGCAGGCCACCCAGAAAACATGTTTGACTATAAAAAGTTGGTGATTACTTCATTACCAAAAAGTGACCATTATATTTTGAAAAGTTATCGTCGTTCAATCATAAAAGGTGAATAGGTGATTTTCTCTAGTTAAGTGATTCTTTGAACATCAATATGAATATTTTTTAAAGGCACTGTTAATGTTTGTCACAGGTTCCATCATCTTATGCGTCTGATTTCTCAGTCTTGATGCCAGGGCAGCAATATCCTACCTACATCGCCCAACCTGCTCCTCTGCCGTGTCCAAGGGAAGGGATTTATTGGCCTTCTCATGAACATCATTTTGTATTTAATTAGCACATTTTCTTACCTATTACTTGTTGTCAATGAATTTCTCTGTATACAGATACTCAGAGATGACCAACTTGTGTCAATTTTATACATATATATTGTAAGTTACATATCAAAATGGGAAGCCTCCTTTTTCCAAGTTAGCTGTCCTTCATCAGCCACTAAAGGACTACAGCTAGTGCATTTTATACATATATATTATCTTCATTTTCTTAACCTAGTGCATTTTCAACGAGAAAGGACTACAGCTACTACGATATGATTTAGGAAAATGTTATTAGTATAGAAACAAGCAGCAAACATTGAATATCACGTAATATGCGATATACTATCTGATCCTAAACAAGACTTCGAGTCCCATTCTGTAACGACCTGATCACCATCAGCATCGGCTCGTCCATCCTCTCCCATTACAAAATTTTTATGCTTAAGAACCAGCTAACTCAAATCAGAAATGAGAATATTACGGTGGCATAATTTCTCAACGTATTAAATTGATATATATTTAGTGTTTTCATCATAATTTATCAAGGTGATCCTATCCAAACAAGATGAGGTAATGCGCCTGAGGCCTGTGGAATTGATTTCTAATAGTAATTATCAACAAAGTCATTGTTCTGGGCTGTAAAAGTCTACCTTGTAACTTACACGTGTTCCCCTCTCCCTATCTCTTCGTGAACTTTATATGTGCTTTCACTGTAAGAAAGAAGACCTCCCGGATTAGCAAAACCAAAGCCAATTTTCTGTATGATAACTACCCTCCCTTCATTTCCCAACCTCTCACAACTTAAAAAAGAACACTTGCAAATATAGTTCGCTGAAGGCAAAGCCAGAACGAATCAGCTAATGATCATCCAACATCTCATCATCTGGTAATACCATGGTCAGCAAAGAATACTTAACCCGGAGAGAAATTCTGCCCTTCTCAACAAGCAGCTTTGCTCCAGAGACAACCCAATAGCCAGGAGACTCCTGTGGTCCTCTGGTCATCTCAGTTGTGTCAACAAATTTGAGAAGCTTGGGAGCTTGGACAGGAACAGGAGGGCCACCTGGATAGACAGCAGAATTTATATTAACATCAGCTGGACGTGGAGGAGGCTTCTGAAATGTTGCTGTAAAGTGTTGGCTAATTAAAGTGGATATGAGGCCTGACTTGGCTCCTGGCCCAGGAGATCCCTGCCACTCAGGTTGCTTCACTGATTTAGCTCCCAACACATTTGAGAATCGAAGTCTTAAGAAGAGTATATTTTTTATGCCATAATTCTCAACTTGCAATTGAGCTCCGGTCACTATTGAAAGATCCTCCTCAGATTCCACAGGAGCAGTGCACACATGAGAGAAATTCTTCCATTGAACCTTCTCATAGAATTTCCTATCATAAGACTTCCGCTGGAAGTTATCATTTGGATCATCTTCAAGCTGGAAGATTTTTGGAAGTGATGAAAGGTGTTGCAAATGTATGGCTAACCGATTGCTTTTCTTACCTTCAAGATAAAGACGTAGACCAGTCACTGGCCTCTTACCTACATCAACCTGTTATAACATGACAGCAATTCTAGTCTTTAGCACAAAGGTTATAAATTACCAATACAATTTTTCTGAAGTGTGCACATGGATACATGTGTAGAAGCATTGAATACATTCCCAATACGTCTAAACTTAGAAACAAAGCATTGAGTGACTTTTGTGTTTTCAATAAAATTCATATTTTCTTTCTTAACACGTTCCCATTAACACACATTACAAAAACAGTCAATAATATCATAATTCATGAGTTAATGATGCTTTTATAGAACTTATGCAACAAAGAAACTTTAGTACATTAAACTCACCCAAGTTCCAACCAAGAACAACATGAGATAGAGAATTAACGACCACAAATTTTAGAATGTCCAACTTAAGAAATGTAATATTCATGAATTTTAGCAATAGAATATACTAAGACTAAGAGTTTTAGTTAACACATGAACTAGAAAGATGCATCTTTTTTGCAAAACTTGGTTCCACTACAAATTAACAAAAATAAATTGTAAAGGTGTCTTCATGCAAATATCAAACCAAAGGACATGAACCAAATTCAATATGACCCATAGAACCGCAACCACTGGAAACAGATGCCTAGGACCAAGAACATTTACCTGTGAGTTGTTAACGTAAAGCTTTGGCCCCATGAAGCTAAACTGTAAAGAAGCAGAACTTCGTTGCTTCCGTTGTGGACCAAGAGGAAGTTCACTGAATACAGGTGCCCACTGCCTTGGCAGCTGGAATTCCAGGAATTGGTGGAGCTCTTCAATTGGTGGTTTGTCTGCAAGATTCAATGCAGAATGATGAAGCATTTTGAACTAGCCATAGTCAATATAATCTACATTAGATCAAGAACAATTAAGACAAGCGAATAAAAAAAGGATACCCACAGGAATTTAATTTCAAAGTTCCAAAAATCCAGGCCCTGTATATATGAATCACCCTAACATTTAATTACCATTCTATTAATAAGGCCATCCTTTCTTAAGTTTGAGTACTCGGTATTGCAAAGCAATCCTTCAACATTTTAAAGTCCAACTATACAACAAACTGTCTATGACAACTCATTTGCAGCAAAGAATATTTCTCATATGAATAAACAACTTTCAATAATTGCTTCTCAGCGCTGCAAAACTGGGGCACGGGTGGCCTCACAAGTTTATAAATAAGCTATCACAAATGAAACACAAACTATATGATCACATTAAAATTTTATACCTAATAGAACAGCTTGGTCTGCTACTTAATGGGCAACAATTATAATCAAATAGCAAAAGGCAATGTTATTTACATAGAATGTATACAAACAAAAGTAGCAATTTTGCTCACATCGTAAATAAAGGTTTATGGCATGGCTCAAGAATCCACTCCCTGGCACTCCATTCAATACAGATGTAATTGGAATGAAGGACATTGAGATCACATCAGGCTCAAACTGAACAGTTTGCAACCACTCATTGTGGGATAGATTTCTGTCATCACTTCCACCCCTCCTCTTGGGAATGCTTACAATATCCTGCAACAAAATATAATCAAGGACAATTGCTACTGTAAATATAAATACTACAAGTATTGTCAATGCTAAAAGTTCTAAGTGTACCTCCTTGTGTGAATAAGAACTTGATGGACTAATATTAGCAAATGTTAGCCTCTGCTCCCTGATTCCAAACTGAAGATAAGCAAAATTGATTAGATATTTCCAACCCAGCAAAAGATGAGAAGAATTAACATTATAATAGACTTGGATCAGAAAAGAAACAGAATGTTTATTGACAGAAACATCTATCTCTGGGTCTGTATCAACAGAATACAAGGTCAAAGATGAGGATTTGAAGATACAAATATAGACAAGAATAACAGATTAATACTCTCCTACTCTAGGTATTTGAGGGAGATCTGGACTCTCCCCTGATTTCCTCTCTCAATTAATCAATCCAGTAACAAACTCCCCAGATCCCTTCTAAATTATAATTTTGACTACTACACATGTGAACAGTTCCCATCTCCCTTTTTCTATTTACATGTGGTCTCTAACACATTACAAAGAGAAGATTATCAATCAAGACAATGACATCTTGGTTCCACTGTTAACTTATTTTAATGGCCCAGATTGTACATATACATCACGTAGTCCAAGAAATTATCTTATCCCTTTGCTTTTACAGTGTTTAATCAAAATATAAGGAAGAGGGAGCCTCAGAACCAACATTAAATGCACAAGCTATGAAAACAATGTACAGTGCAAGAATTGATCAAATCTGAGAAACATCTAATCTGAAGAAACCATAATCAGATGTTTTCATGAAACAGCAAAATATACATAGCAGGATGAACAATGATCATTCCCTGGCCTTAAAATTCGTCACTAACCTTGTTATTTGGGAAAACTTGATCAGAAGCAACACTATATTGGCCATTGGCATCCAGAAACCTCTTATCCGCAATCTCTTTCAATTTTTTTTGAACATCAGCAGGTTGAAGAGTCGATGAGTGCTGCTGCTTCAAATATATTACATCTTTTCCTCCCATTTTCATACCAACAATTATATGGGTGCCAAAGGTCTCAATAAACCTGAGGCAATTGTGAATAGGAACAGTCAAAAGATAAACTAGTAGAGTTAATCCTAGTAGAATTTAATAACTTCTTAAGAAAGTCAATTTAAGTTGCACCTCAACATGATTGACACGTTCGACCAATACAAACAATTGGAACATACAAAACTAAATGAAGAAGAGATTACAGATCCAAATCAGTCCTAATTTGATTAAGACCATTTATAAAGTTTAATATTCTAAAATTAAATGAAGATAAACAACCAAAACTAGACAATACACTACCAAAAGAAGTTCTTATCATGTAAAATTGGCATACAGCAACAATGCACTGCCTATTGCTGCTGCTGCTGTTATTATTTGTTTATAAGGATGTTCATAATGTTAACTTAATGAAATTGAATCTTGTAGAAGAAATATTCAGATAGATACAACCATAGAATGACATAAATGTGTTATCACAATTAACCTCATTCACACAGTCTTTGTCAGAAATTTCCTTCCATATGTGCATATCACGTTGGGATGAAAATAGAAATCGCAAATTTTTAAATCCTGGGGCATAAAAAAACAGTTAATATATTGGAGAAGCCCTCTGCTTAATTCTCATTAGGGATTTATATCTATTCAATTAGCATAGAAGGTCTTTTCTATCTTTTTGAAACGATGAAAATCAGCTAAAGGCTCATAGAATATCAAATCATTAGAAAGCTAGACATCAGAGCAGGTACCCATAATTTCAAGAACTGACCAAGATGTCAATAAAAGAATCCAAGGATAATAATAATTCAATTGACACGGAAATTGAAAATAGTTTCACCATTGGGTGAAGATTACATTAACAAAGCTCAATTCACCTTGCTAATGCAGGTGGATCCCATGATGATGGTACAGCTTTTTTAACATGGTCACAGAGTACCATCTGAGACTTCTCTAATGCAATGGTGTAAAGTGTAATTAATACCCCATCAAAAGCAAGGGACTTGGTATGGGCTGCATCTTTCTGCCAACTCCCAGAAAATTCAAACATTGTATTGAAAAGCCCAGAGGGAATTTTGCCAGTTAAAGATAACTCCTGATTGAATTGCTCAGACATCTGAAAACATTCAAAAGAAGCAAACGGCCAGTCAATGGGTAATGCACACATTACTGAAATTGTTGATGAAAGGAAATCTCATTACCACTGAAATATCAGATTGTAAACAAAAGAAATATTTCATTGTACTCCTTCAAAAGCATTCAGAAATATATTTCAACAGCCTTTAGAAACCTAACAGATTCATAATTCCAAGATCATTTGGCTACTTAGTGATACATATAGTGCACTACGTGATTAGGGCATGCCGCATGCCTTTGCAACGGCTTACTGTGATTATTTGCAAATGACCTTCCAAGGAGGGATTGCCAACAGAAACCAAATCCAATATCTTTCAGCCTGATCCTACCAGTTGAGCCAACCCTCATTGGCTTTTGACAGTGAGTGTTAAAGCAAAACAACCAGGACGCATCATACTCAAAACAAATTTCATCAACAAATGTCCAAATGAAGAGTTACAAAACATGGTAAATGAGTGGGGGCAAGGTTTTAAAAATGTATACAGTAGGAAAAAAAGGGAGAACTCATATGTTGTAACTAACTAATGTAGTAGTTAAGACAGCTAGCCCTTTTAGCAATATAAATAAGAGCTCGGGGTAGTTAGTGAAGGTTTTTTTGGAACAGAATTAGGCTGGTTTGGAGAGTGAGGTCTCGCGAATTACCTCGGGCCAGTGCAATCATGTAATTTTTCCTATTCCTAATCTGGACCACGTTGGTGTAGAATTGGGAATTAGGGTTCTGCAATAAAGAGGCATTCTTTCATATTGAGTTTGATATTTGATTCTATCAACTGGTATCAAAGCACCAGTCCTGGTTCTAGGTCACAAGATTGGGAAATTTGGATGCATGGGAAGAACGAGAATGGAGGCAAGAATTGAAGCCTTGGAGCACACAATTCAGAACTTGAATCATGATCTTGATTTACAAGAAAATGTACAAGATGAATGATGTCAAAAGCTGGAAGATATGATATCGAATCTCACAAACATCGTAGGGGATTTATCATGAAGGAATCACAGCCGAGGAAGAGATCAACAAGCGAAAGATTCAGATATAGTGCAGGTGCAAACGAATCCAATCAAAAAGACACAATGGCGAAAACTCGACATTCCTGTTTTCGCAAGTGACGAGGAGTATGGATGGACAAACCATTTGGAGAGGTATTTTCGGTTAAGCGGAGTTCAAGAAGAAGACAGGATGCATGCAGTGATGGTAGCACTAAAAGGTAAGGCGTTGAATTGGTTCCAATGGTGGGAATCCTAAAATCCCAATCCTACATGGGATTCATTCAAAACGGCGGTGGTAAGATGATTTCAACCAACCATGATAAAAAATCCTTTCGAAATTTTGATTGGGCTGAAACAAACAGATTCAGTGGGAGAGTTCATTGAACAATTTGAGAAGTATGCGGGTTTCTTGAAGGGAATTGATCAGGATTATTTGGTGAGAATTGTTTTAAACGAACTGAAGGAGGAAATCAAAACAGGTAAAATTGTATGAACCTGACAATCTAGCAGAGCTAATGATGAAACCCCAAATGGTGGAAGAAAAAAATCAGGTTACAATGAAGGTGGTAACACAACAAGGGAACAAGACAGGAAACTCGTTCAGGTCATATGCTAGGACCCGAAGTTATACTAGAGAAACAAGGATGCATTCATCAAATTTCAGCAACAATAAAGGAAAAGGAGAGAGTTCAGACATAGCAAGCAGCTTTGGTAGTAACAGCCATGTAGGAAGCAGAAACAGAGCTGCGAACTTTAGGAAATTGACAGATGAAGAAATGCAAGATTAAAATGGAATTATGCTTTCACTGTGACAAAAAATTTGGCCCCAACCATGTATGCAAACATAAACAATTACACATGTTGCTCATAGAGGAGGAGGAACCAGGAGGATCAGCAAAAGTGATGGGGACAAAATGGGTAGAAGACAAAGGCATGGAAGCTGAGAAAACACTGCAGATATCTATGTTAACAATGGCTGGTTTAACTTAATAGAAATTCTTGGAAGGTGTGGGGAATGATAAGGGAGGAGAAGGTGATAGTCTTGATCGATTGTGGTGCTTCCCACAATTTCATATCTACTGAGTTGATGAGAAGGTGCAATCTGGTTAAAGAAGAAACTCTTCCATATGTATTTGAAGAAGGAGATGGACATAAGGCGGAGTGTCAAGGGGTTTGTAGAGGCTTATTACTGGAGCTGCAAGGATTAAATATTACTCAAGATTTCTTTCTGTTTGGGCTTGGGGGAGCAGATTTAGTTTTGGGGCTTGATTGGCTGGCTAGTTTGGGGATGTCAAAGCTGATTTTGGCAAGTTGATTTTGGCTATTGGGAAGGGACAGCAACAAAGAATTCTAGTACGAGATCCAACCTTGTCCAGAACCAAAACCTCAATAAAGATGCTGATGCAAGAATTGAAGGAAAGGGGAAATGGGTATTTGGTGGAATTAGTAGAAACCAATTCATCTAGGAAAACAGTAGCAATTCCTGCAGTCATTGAGGAAGTGTTGCAGCAATATAATGAGTGATTTCAGGACCCAGAAGGTTTACCTCCCAGCAGAAACCATGACCATGCTATATATTTGAAAGAAGGGGCATCTATACCTACTATAAGACCATAACGGTACCCTCACTATTAGAAAAATGAGATTGAGAGGCTAGTACGTGAGATGCTAAGGCAAGGATTATAAGACCCTGTATTAGCCCATATTCTAGCCCTATTATGCTGGTACAAATGAAGGATGGGAGGTGGAGATTTTGTGTAGATCATAGGGCTTTGAATAAGGTCACTATACCCAATAAATTTCCAATCTCAGTTATAGAAGAGTTATTAGATGAATCGGCAGGAGCAACACTATTTTCCAAGCTGGACTTAAAATCTGGTTATCATCAGATTTTAATAAAAAAAGATGTGGAGAAGACAGCCTTTCGAACACATGAAAGCCACTTCAAATTTCTGGTGATGCCATTTGGATTGATAAATGCACCCTCCACTTTTCAAGCTCTCATGAATGAGGTACTTCAGCCTTTCCTTTTGAAGTTTGTGCTGGTTTTTTTCAATGACATATTAGTGTACAGCCCCTCGGTTGAGCTGCACTTAGCTCACTTGAAAGAGGTGTTGCAAGTGTTACAAGTACACAAATTAAAGGTGAACAAAAAGAAATGTACCTTTGGGCAGCAAAGTCTGGATATCTAGGCCATATTATTTCAGCTCAAGGTGTCTCAGCTGATCCAAAAAAGGTAGAAGCTAATGTGGCTTTGGCCTGTCCCTAAAGATTTCAAAAGTTTACAGGAACTTTTGAGCTTAACTGGCTATTACAGACGATTTGTGCGCAGTTATGGAAAATTGCACAGCCTTTGACTCAGTCATTGAAGAATGATGGTTTCAAATGGAGCATGGAAGCACAAATGGCTTTTGAGGAGTTGAAAACAGCAATAACCCAGCCACTCATTCTGGCAGTCCCTGACATTGTGAAACCTTTTGTTGTGGAGAATGATGCCTCAAGTAAAGGTTTAGGGGCTGTTCTATTACAAGAAGGCAAACCTTTTTAGCCTTTTGGAGTTAAGCACTTTCTGAGAGAGGGCAGAATAAGTCAGTTTATGAAAGAGAGTTGATGGTTGTGGTATAAGTTGTACAGAAGTGGAGGCATTACTTTATGGGCAGTCATTTTATCATAGTTACTGATCAAAAAAAGTTTCAAATTCCTCACAGAACAAAGGCTATTGACAGAGGAACAGTTAAACGGGTGGGTCTCTAAGTTGATTGCATATGATTTTGAGATTTGATATAGACCAGGAAAAGAAAATTCAGCTGCTGATGCACTTTCTACGAAACCCATGTTTTCAGCCATGAAAGTGTTACAGTTTGATGAAAGGGAGGACTAGGATGATGAAATACAGAGGACACTCGCTTACAAAACATAATATAGGAGTTACTAGTTGATCCCAAGACAAACGTTGATTATACTTTGCGAGGGGGGAAATTATACTACAAGGGAAAACTGGTTCTGCCTAAACAGTTTCTGAGGATCCCAACAATCATTCATGAACGCCATAGTTCACCCACCAGAGGACATTCAGGCTATTTCAGAACCTTCAAAAGGGTGGCTGGAGTGTTATGTTGGGTATGCAAAGGGATATCTAAAAGTTTGTTATGCAAAGCAATATTTGTCAACAAAATAAGCATGAGACCCTATCTCCTGCAGGATTATTGCAGCCACTACCTATTCCAACGTAGGTCTGATTTGACATTTCTATGGACTTTATCTTGGGGTTGCCTAAAGCTCAAGGTAAGGATACCATTATGGTGGTAGCGGATAGACTTACTAAATATGCTCATTTTATAACACTCAGTCATGCATTCACCGCAGTGGACGTAGCTCATATCTTTGTAAAAGAAATTGTAACTCCATGGCTTTCCCTCCACCATCGTTTTTGATAGAGATAAAAAATTCTTGTGTACTTTTTGGAAGGAGTTATTCAAACAAGCTGGCACCAAACTGACTGCTTACCATCCGCAAACTGATGGTCAAATAGAGGTAGTGAAGGTCTCTCGACTTATCTCAGGGCAGTACAATTGTAATTTTTCCTATTCCTAATCTGGACCCCGTTGGTGTAGCATTGGGAATTAGGGTTCTGCAATAAAGAGGCATCCTTTCATATTGAGTTGGATATTTGATTCTATCAGTGGGATTCATTCCAAAGGGCAGAGCGGTTTTCCTTGATCATAGATCAGGGTTTCACATTACAGCAAAGCTGTTCCCACATTTCAGTTAATTCAAAACTGATTTTCCAAGATAGTTAATGCACCTATTTGATCCATCTATTATCTAGCAAAGAAGGAAAGTGTATTCCAATTAGGCGATAAGCAAAGAACTAAGAAATGAAAGGAAAGGGTGATATTATGCATGACAATGCTCATAATTTATTTCTAATTAACAGCTGAAAGTTTCATTCAAGCAATACATGATTACAGAATTCACCTCTTGAGGAAAAACAGGAATGTTTACCTGTTGAAAAGATAAAACATCAGACCTGAACCTAGTGCGTTCCCCTTTATCACATTTTATTGATTTAGAAACATTTGGTATTGAAACTCCATCCGGTAATACCACCTCTCTTACATCATCTTCATCTATTTCAATTAAACGTGAATTTATGGAATCCCCTTTACAATACTTAAGCCTTATATCAGCAGATACATCATAACCACGACCGATGGAGCCAATTGCAATCTCAGCAACTTTATGAGCCGGAACTTTAAGTGCCATATCTCAGCACATCACTTGTCTTCACTGAAAACAAAACAAATTTCCACAATTCAGCATTCTTAAGCACATATTGAGGCCAGTTTAACTTAGAAATTTAGGAACTTAGTTAACACAAATAAAGCAATTTACCAACTAAAACACACCAACCATGCATAAGAAAACATGAACTATAAATTATTACTCAGATGAGTAATTAAATAACTACAAAAAAAAAAAAAAAAAAAACCTGACAGATTGATCTAAAAACCCATAAATGAGAATTTTTCAGCACAAGTTCGTGCGAAACAGTTAAAGCATTTACTCCCTTATGCCCAACCCCAAAAAAAGTAATAATAATAAACTTTCCCGTAATGATTTATGATAGCCTGCTCAACTCTGCATAATGCCCCACAAACGAAAAAACTTGGCTACAATACAGGCATTTGATGCCCCACCCCAACACATGCAGGAGGCCAGCATGTACTTCAAAACAAGAGCATTCTTAGTCAAAACTTCAAATTAAGCAAAATATTGTTGCTTAAACCATACATATTTACTATGCAAGATGAGCTTATCACTGTTTTTTTTAGGCTCGGAACTGGAGCGAAATCCCAAGAAATGGAGGCTGACACCCAATTGCTAAGCTGGTTAATCGGCGATCAGGCTAAGCAATGCGGGGCTTGTATCTGCGATTTGGAAACCCTAACGTAAAAATTGGACTTTTAAGATAGAGAGAGAAAAACGGAACCCTGTGAAGAGAGAGAGGGAAAGAAAAAGTTGAGTTGGAACAGCAAACTTTGTGGACTAATTAATGAAAACAATATCAGTAGCGTGATACCATTGGCTGTTAGATTAAGATTACTGTTGGGAGGAGAAGATTCACAAACTTTACCGCCACTACTGTCTCAAAACATTGTAATACTTTTTTGCAATTGAGTGCAAAATGATACACACTTGCACATTTGAAGGTTACTTCGTTTGCATTATCTTATGAATTTTAATATTCATTTGTCTCAACTTCAAAATCTTGAGATTGTGAAAAAGTTATTTATTTATTTATAAATTTTGTATCAAATAAGAATTAAGTTTTATTATCTATAATTATAAAAAAATGTTTTTATTTAAAAAGTAGTTATAATTTTTTCAGAATTTATTTAAAATAAATCCCTGAAGTTACGATAGTTATTCGTAGATTTAGATTTTTTTTCTAAATTTAAGAAACATGATAAAAATATTTAAATATCTATTCGCTTAAGTTTTATAAAAATGTAATTTACTTTCTAGATATTTAATAAAAAAATGTATTTCTTTATTTAGACTCTAAGTTCTTCATTTATGACAATTTTTTAATTGAGTAAGAATTATGAGCTATACGTGCTTGTAAGATAAAGAATTTTATTTTTTAATTATGTATATAAATGATACTTGTATTTAAAAAGATTGTCATAATTTTATTTGATTCTTATGATAAGCTATTTTTTTTTAAGTAGTCAAAAATTAAAAGTTTTCAACACTTCAATAGGCACTTCAAAATATTTTAAAACTAATTTTAAAAAATCACTTTTCATAAAAAAAAATAAGGAGAATACAAAATAATGAAGATGTTAAAAAAATAATGATTAAAAAATTCATAAAGAGATATATGCAAAATATAAGTTAATAGTTAAAATAAAAATATTTAAAGTGCTTATTAAATTTAAAATAAAATTTGATGGATCTACAATTTCTGTTCTATGGTGATTAATGTTATTCTTTAAAGAAGTTAATTACATGAAAATTAGAGTAACAAAAATAAAAATGATAAAATGAATGTTATTTACACACACAAAAAAGGTAGAGAATTTTTTTTCACATAAGAGGATATATTCAAAATTGATGTAGCACGTACTTGAAAAAAAAAAAACAACTTAATTATACTTTTGATCCCTATATTTTAAGGTATGTGTAACTTTAGTTATGTTAAATTTAATTGCTAACATTTAATCTATTTAATTTTTAAATGTTTAAATTAAAATTTTCATCTCAAAAATTTATCTAATAATTAATAAAATTATAATAAAAATATGACATTTTATTAATTTATACAAATAAATAAATATTATACAAAATATATATATATATATAATATAATAAAAATCTTAATTTTAGAATGAATAACTTAATTTAAATATTTGAAAAACTAAAGAGCTAAGCACTAGTAATTAAAAGCAGGGGAACTAAAATTATACATACATAAAAGTACAGACTAAAAATACAATTAAGTCAAAATAATAAAAATCAATTAAATTAGTTTGGATAAGTGCAAGAAAATACTAAAAACGCCACTAAAAATAGTTTATTAGGTTTTGAAGTATATAAATTTAAAAAATAATGCATAATTATTTACAAATGAAAATGTATATGCATACTTATTCTTAATTTTTGCTATAATACTTATTCTTAATTTTAATTAATTAGTTAAAATGATAATATATTTCAAATTAAAGAAACAGTAAAGTTGCTCTTATTATTTACCTAAACAACCTGTTTAGATAAGAGACATCGTGAATCTCACTTCCATATGTGCATGTGAGCTGTAAATGCTCCCTCAAAATTCTTCATTTAAATATAGTAAACTCATTTAAGCAAGATTAAGAAGCATCACATTTTTGTTCTCCATACAACTTAATAGAATAAAACAGTGAGTTTAACGATAATAAATAATAATAATAAAATTGGGATTATCGCTTTGTTGTTGTGAAAGGGGCATCTGTACATGCAATCTGCCCATAAAAAGTCGGTGAATTGATTAATTGAATTTTTGGTTAAGTGAACACCTTTCAAAGGACAATATTTTATTTTATTTTATTTTATTTTATGTATCATACAACATATAATTGATAAAATGTAATAATGGGTGGTATCAATAAATATTAGTTAAGGAATAGTGGATAATTAACAAGTTTTACAAATATTATTAACCTGTATTTCAATACTTGTCATTATTCTCTGGATCTTTTCTTCTCTCTGCGTGTTTGGAATAAAGCAATGCTAGTACAAAAATTTTGACGCACATAAATTTTTGTGACGGATGACTTTATGATTGGCGAGTTCACGGAATGCACAAATTTTGGCTGGGAATCCCCTAACGGAAAACACGGCAACGAATTGATGATGCCACGGTCAACGGACACTCAATGGCAGCGCAACATTGCGATCCACGTGATTATTACTCTCCTCTGTTCTCGCTTATCACTTCCAACTTCTAACCTCAGATGCATATTTTGCCAGTGTCTCATGCCTCATGAGAACATGTGACTTCCGGTTCCAAAGCACCAACCCCTTCTGCATTTCCTACACCAACACACAATAATGGTTAAAAAAAACTATCTTCGATATATTTGTAACAATGACCATGCGTCCAAAATTGCAATTGATTACAGTTTTGAGTGAAAAATTTGTCGTCATGTACAATACTTTTGGTTATGAGTAAAATGCACGGTTCATTTCGGATTACCAAACTCAATACCCAAATTTTGCTTCCAAATTTTAACCATTTTAAACTCCAAATCTACCTCACTAGTCAAGTCATGTCAACATGAGCTCTCAACCACATGTACTATTCACAATGCCTTGCCGTATCGGACATTTTAGTCAAATATTTCGTCCTTATTATAAATTATAGCTTCACTGTTATTGTACACATTACCCTACCCTTACCAGCACACCATTTCCTTTGTCTGCGTGCAGCAACCTCTCCTCCATAAATTTTTTGAATCGGAAAATGAACGGGTATTCCAAGATTAGCAGTGGCACTACCCACAAATCAAGATCCATGGATTTTTCAGATTCTGTCTCATTTCCTCAAACCCCAAAAGCAAGCAGGAACACTGCCCCAAGCACGGCCAAACCCGAGGAACCCAACGAGCAGGTGAAGAAGAGCGAGAGGGAATTAGAAGAAGGTGGGAATGGAGAGAGATTTGGAGTGATACTGGGTAGGAGTGGTTCGGTTTCTTCGGCATCGGGGTTTCAGGCTACAATGAAGAGGGCGTTTTCAATGAGAAGATCTTCATCAGTTTCAGAGAGGTACTGTAGGATCCATGACCAGTACATGGCTATTGAAGATCATGAAATGGATGCTGACGTAACGAGAGCAAGAAGATCCATGAAGAAGAAGCAAAAGGGAGGCAAGATCCTAAAAGCCTGTAAGCGCTTCCTTGGACTGTAGTCCTCTTTTTAGTTATTATATTCAGTAATAATGAGAGTAGAATCTGCTTTACAGTTTTCTTGAGCCAACTCCATCAGACCTCTCAACTTTTTTGTTTATCATAAATTTTCTTTCCTTTGATTTAATTATGTATATTTGGCAAAATCAGTGTCAAAAGTAGATTTGTGTGCTTCCATTTGGGAAGAAAGTTGAGGTAAAAAGATGATTATCAAATTGTGTCTTTGTTACAGTGTATTTATGGGAATTATCTGAAGATTTGAAATTCATACTTGAAATGAATCTATCAGTGAAGTATCGTGCTCGATGTACCCCATAATATGCAAGAGTGGTCAAACTGAAGGTGTGGCAGTAATAATCATGGATGGAATCATATTAACAATCATTGCTATCAGCGATGTACACTGTGCAGTTGTGTAATGTGTAATGAGCTGTTCCCTTCAATAATCATAACTGGAAAAGACTATAAATGTGTACGGGATTGTAAAACAGAGAAGCGGGAGAAAATTAATGCATCAATTGACACACGGGAAAGGGAAATCAAACCTGAGTCACTGTAACATTCCAAGTTGCAAGTGCAGTGAAGCCGTCCATTCGTTGTATTTTCGATTTATCTTATCACTCGTGTCGTGTTTGAATGATCTTTAGAAAATAGGTCGTCTAATTTATTTTAGAATTAATTTATATACAATTTAATTAATAAAAATATTTTTATATTATATAAATACTTATATATAATAAAATTATTTTAAATAATATTTAAAATAATTGTTTTGGTTTAATTAATAAACATCAAAATATAAATATTTAATAAAATTAAATTATTTAAAATAATACTTTTACTGTATAGTGTCAAGTTTTTCTAATTAAATATTAATAATTAATATATATATATATTGAATATAAATTTAAGATAAGACTCTTAAAAGTAAACTTTAATTTTTAAAAATTAAAATATATTTTAAAATATAAAATATATATTTACAAAAAAAAATAAATGTTATAAGATAATAATGAAAATTTAGAACAAAATTAACAAATAAATAAATAAAAAGTAAAATTGTTATAGCAAGAAAAAGTGTAATTCATTCATTGTTTTTAATTAATTTTAATTTTAAAATATATACATGACAATTCAAAGAAAAGTAATTCTCACTTTTTAAATAAATGGCTCTCTTTTTTATAATACAAAGATTGATCAAGCTATTTATAGCAATTTTTGAATAAAAAACTATTTAATTCAATTTCATCCATTTTTAACTTTATTATCAAATAAGTTTGATTTCATGTTTAAATTTGATATAATTTAATTTAGAACAAATTAAAATTTATTAAATAAGCAATATATTATTTTTTGATACATGTTTTTTCAAAATTTTATTTTAATAAAAAAACTATTTAATAAAAAACTAAGAAACATGGAAGTTATAGTGATAGTTGATTGTTGGAATACGTTAAAGACTTACTCTAAAAGGATTGACAAATTTAGATTGTAAAGGACGTGATAAGAAGAGAAAATTGTAATTTATGATTAATCCTCGGCCTCGAGTAAAAATATTTTTATTACAAGATGTATAAAGAGTTTGTACTCTTAAAATTACCTATATCTAGTTTGTTCCTGCTTGAGAAACGACTGTCTTCAAACCTCTGATCAGGCGTTCTTCTGACGATTTGCTGATATGGAGGATACCTGCAAAAGGCACTCCGATGATAAAGTCAGGATTCGGTTCTGAGCAATAAATGTTATTTAATGATGGAAAGTCAACTCTTTACCTGTATTTCCTACCTTCCTTTTATAGGCATTCTATTGGGCTGATGGGCCTGAGTCAGCCTTTATACTGTGGCCCATTTTCCTAGTTTAAATAATACTTTGATTATTACCCTTAATTGGATTATTTACCTTTTAATCCTGACGAGGGGTACCTGGTCTAGTATGCCGAGTAGGTATTCGGTTTCTTTTTCCTATAGGTGGGACCGAGTTGATTCCTTTCCCAGTACACTAGCCCGGCGAGTTGCAAAGCAAGGGCTTTTAAATGCTAATGGTAATGTTGCAATGGGTATTCGGTCAAGGTGTTTCTCACTATACCGAGAGGGTCATTCGGTTAGGGTAAGTTACAATACATCGGAGGGGGTGTCCGGTCTCGAGTGAGATGGTAACATTTAACAATGTGTTAGGTTTTATACTAAGAGGTAATCGGTTTAGTAACAAAACGATACAAGCCGAGATTATAATATAAATAATAAATTTGCGAAGGAATATTCTAGAATGTTGGTTTTTAGGGTTTGTCAGAGGGTATATGAAACGAAAGGGTGCTCCATTTCATCCGTTGATCTGGAAGGGATCTGACGGTTTGAAACGAAAGGGCGTCTTTTCATTTGCCCGACATCAGTCCCTTATAAATATGTGGTGGTCCCTGCATCCCTTTCTTACTCTTTTGCTCTGTGCCGAAACCTGCATACCGTTGCTCCAAACCGACGAGTGTTCAGAGATCTTAGGCTTTTCTTCCCTACCGACTACTTGTAAGGTGCGTTTCATTTTTTTACTTCTTTTCTGTCATGGCTGATCGTATTGAGTGGGAGGATTCCCTGTCGGATGCCTCGGGGCCGAGTACTATTGAGGTAGATATTATGAACGGAACTGAGGGGAGTGGCGAGGTTTCGTTTATTTCAAATCGGAGGGCTGAAGAGGCACAAGTCAGGGGATGCAGCAACGAAGCTGAGACGTCAGCGTTAAGTGATACTGATGCTCCTGAACCCTTACCGAGTACTAGTCCTCCTAGGGAAAGGCAGGTGTTTCCTCCCTGTACGATACCTGGTTATGAGTGGGTGCACGGTGAGGTGGCCGCATACTTTTCTCGTTTTAAAAGAAATAAAAGTCTTCAACTCTTTGTAGATAATTGTGATATTTCTTTATGGGAGGCTTGTGACCCGTATCCTATACACCTTGCCCCTGTAAAGGGGACGAGGGCGAGAACCCAGACTTTGTTTTCCTGGGAGGTGTCGGAATGGTCGACACTTTCTTCATGTATGAGTATATGTTTAGGGAATTAGGTATCAGGCTACCCTTCGACGATTTTCAAATGGGGGTTTTGAGGGTATTGAATGTAGCGCCAACACAACTACACCCGAACGGGTGGGCGGCAATTCAAGCCTTTAGGATACTTTGTAAATTCCATTACATAGAGCCTAGTGTAGGTCTTTTTCTTCATTTTTTTTGTACACGTCCATCTGACCTGGCGAGGTAGGTATCTTTAATAAGGCAACTCAAGTTGCCTTTATTTAAGCCATATGCTTCGTCTTTTAAGGGTTTCAAAACCGGTTTCTTCAAGGTAATCGTGGACCCTGTAGGTAAAAACTATTTTTTTGATAGCGAGAATAATCCTCTCTTCCCTTTTCACTGGACTCGGGTGCCACGCCGATACGACACATTCCCTGAGGACATGTTATCGGCTAGGGAGCTATCAGATTTGCAATTCCTGAAGTCCCTTCCCCGGGACCTTCCTGCCCGACATGTAATCCTCGTGCTCAAGTCTCCGCGTCCTCCCTGGGATATGGAGGGTATGTGTCATTTCGTTTCTAACTTGTATTTGGAATTGAGCTATATTGATTTGACTTGCTATTGTTAATGCAGGCTTAATGGCTCAGCGAGGTGTTGACGTGCCTACCTTCCGGCGCAATCTGAAGCAAAGAATGCCGGAGGGAACGCCTATTGAGGAGCATCGCCATCCTCAAATTGATCAACTTCCTGAGGTGCCAGAACCTCGCCCTCCTCCCCAAGATGTTGTTCCGGTTGAAGGCCCTTCCAAGAAACGCAAGGACAAGGGTAAAGGCAAGGAACCCGAAAGGGAGAGAAAGAGAAGGCATGCCCATTCGGGTGAGCCTTGCGGCGCTCAAGGGGCTTGGAAGCAAACTCGGGTGGTGGCTGCTGCGGAGGGAAGCAGTTCCTCCTCCCCTGTAGTTCCCTTGGACATGCTGGCCGAGGGCTTCCTGGTGAACGGAACACATGTCGGCCGGCTCGCTGCTCCCAACCTGTTATCTGATGCAAAGAAAGAACTGGTCGACAGTCTGGACTTCGAATCACTATGGCGCTACTACGCAGAACTTCATGTACGGTCCACAGCGATGCTCCGAAAGCTAGTTGGGGATCCTATTATCGAAGTTAAGAAGTTAAAGGCTGCCTACTCGGCTTCTGAAGAAGCTTTAGCAGAGAGTAGAGAGATTCAAGCCAGTCTGGACGAGACCGTTCAATCCCTGCAAGGTCAGGTTAACCAATATAAAGAACACTTTCGGATAATGGAAGACCGAGTGCATGCAGCCGAGGAGGTGACGAGGATCAAGGGGGAGGAAATGGAGGCGTTAAGGGCAAAGTCCTGTCAAATGGAGGAGGCTTTACAGGCCAAATCTGCTGAGATGGAAGAAGCCTTGGCGCTGGAAAAGCAAAAGGCTGAAACCGAGATGAGAACCTTTGCCGAGAAGTGTTCTCAGCAAGTATCTTACGAACATGAGGCCGGTTTTAACCATGCTATTCGCCAGTGTCATGGGTTCTGCCAAGTACCGGTAGACTTTCATTTTGACATTACAAAGGACTTTTTTGGCGGGAGGTTCATTCCTTACACCAAGGTTGATGACGATGTAGAACCTGACGCCGAAGTGCCGAGACGCCTCATTGAGGATGCTGCTAATCCTAAGGCAGCCGGTCCCGATGCAGCGGAAAGGGAAGAAAGTTAAATTATCTGTCTTCTGTACTCATGGGTCATTAGTGCCCAAATTTTGTAACTAGTCATTTTGAAATAGAATTTTATCTCTCTTTCTCTTATGCTTTGTATCTTGGTCATATAACTTGCACTAATATACGATATGCTTAATATAATCGTCCTTAGCCGAGTAGGGGACACGGGAGGTAATTAAACTAATTCATCTTTAGGTATTTAAAAATTCAACCTTAACCAAGTGATAACTGAGAGGGACTCGTAATTCGTTCATTTTGACCGAGTGGGGGTACTCGGGATTGAGATAATTCGACCTTAGCCAAGTGACACTTGGGAGGGAAATATAATTGATTCATTCTTAACCGAGTGGGGGTACTCAGGAAGGAACTAATTCGACCTTAGCCAAGTGACACTTGGGAGGAAAATGTAATTGATTCATCCTTGACCGAGTGGGGGTACTCGGGAGGGAAATAATTCAATGGCGCTTGAAAGATGCAGTGCATAAAAAACCGTATAGGTGAAAAAGAAGAATTTTATTGATAAGGTGCCTCGTTAAAAACCTTCCCAGGAAAATCCCTTTTCACTTTCTTTTAAGAGGATAAAACCTGGAATAGGAAAAGAGTACACCTGTGTATATATTACAAGGTTTTAACTATAATAATGCTTCAAATGCGTGACATTCCAGGTCCTCGATATTAATTTTCCTTCCAATGTTTCCAACTTGTATGCTCCGTTATTTAATCTTGCCGTTATCCGAAAAGGGCCTTCCCAGTTAGCTGCCAACTTCCCTTCTCGCCGATCTTTGCGTGCGTCTCCGGTTACTCGCCATACCAGGTCGTTTTTATAAAATTGTCGTGAACTGATTTTGGAGTTGAATTTTCTAGCCATCATTCTTTTACTAGCCTTGGTCATAATGGCAGCGTGGTCACGTATTTCATCTATTAAGTCCAGGTTGACGGCCAGAGCCTCTTCATTAGCCGATTCCTTGAAATTCTCCCTCCTGAATGAGGGCTCTCCAATTTCTACTAGTACCATGGCATCAGTACCATAGGTAAGCCGAAAGGGGGTTTCTTTTGTTGTGGTTTGCGGCGTGCACCGATAAGCCCATAATATCTCAGGCAGCTTCTCTGCCCACTCTCCCTTTGCCGAACCCAACCTCCTTTTTAATTCATGTAAGATCACTTTGTTTACGACCTCGGCTTGGCCATTCGTCTGAGGATGTTCAACAGATGTAACTCTGTGTTTGATATGCAAGCCTTCCAGAAACTCATTGAACCGACGATCTGTAAATTGAAGCCCATTATCTGTAATTAGTGCATGAGGGAGGCCGAACCGTGTAATGATGTTTTTCCAAGTGAATTTTTGCACGTTGTTGGCCGTGATGGTGGTTAGGGGTTCGGCCTCAATCCATTTGGTGAAATAGTCCACGGCGACGAAGAGAAATTTACATTGCCCTTTTGCTAAAGGAAAAGGACCGAGGAGGTCCATTCCCCAAATAGCAAAGGGCTAGGGAGAGCTAATGTGGCGAAGAGTATCGGCGTGTTGGCGCAGGTGAGGACCGTGTTGTTGACAGGGAATGCATTTTTTTACAAACAAATGACAATCTTGAGTTATTGTTGGCCAGTAGTATCCGGCTCTGAGTACTTTTGCTGCCATAGTTCGTCTGCCCGAATGGGTTCCACAAATACCTTCATGGATTTCTCTCATGACGTAGTTAGCTTGATCGTTGTCTAGGCATTTAAGCATGGGGGTTGAAATTCCTCTTCGATACAATTCTTTGCCGAGAAGAAGGTATTTGGCTGCATGTGCTTTTATTTTCTTAGCTGAAGCTGTATCCTGTGGGAGGCTGCCATCAGTGAGGTATCGGATGAGAGGGGTCATCCAATTATGAGATGAATTTTCCATGTCCATGCATTCTTGTTTGGCGACACTAGGTTGGGTGATTTGTTGGTGAACCACGCTCTGCAACTGCCCTGGTTTCCGTTGGCTAGCCAGCTTAGCTAGCCTGTCGGCTCGTGCGTTCATGTTTCTTGATGTGTACTGAATACATACCTCCTCAAACTTGGCTTTTATTTTCTTGACTTCCTGGTAATATTTAAGCATGACCGAGTCCCTGATCTGATAGGAATCGTTAACTTGTTCGGTTACAATTTTTGAATCACTCCAAGCAGTAATGCGTTTAACCCCCATCTCCTTTGCTAGCCTGAGACCGGCGAGTAAAGCTTCATATTCGGCTTGATTGTTGGACGCCTTAAATCCAAACCGGATAGATTGTTCAATGGCGAATGCATTCGGTCCTTCAAGAATGACCCCCGCTCCACTGCCTAATTGATTTGATGATCCATCAACGTGCAAATTCCACATGTCTGAAGTGGTATTATGTTGTGTAGTGAACTCATTGATGAAGTCGGCTAACACCTGGGCTTTAAGGGGGCGTCGGTTCTCGAAATGGATGTCAAATTGAGATAATTCAATTGTCCATGCCACCAACCGACCAGCCAATTCTGGTTTCCTCAAAATTTTGGCCATCGGACAATCTGTACATACCACCATCCGATGGCTCTGAAAGTAGTGTCTTAACCGACGAGCTGTGTAGACTAAGGCAAGTACCACTTTCTCCATTAACTGATACCGAGATTCAGGACCTTGGAGTGTCCTGCTAACGAAATATACGGGGTTCGGTTCAGGTGTTTCTTGAAGTAAAACTGAACTGATGGCGTGATCGGACACAGCCAAATAAACAATCATTTCCTGATTTGGTGTTGGTTTAATCAACACAGGTGGCGCTGCCAGCACATGCTTGTATTGTACAAAGGCGTCCTCACATTCATTGGACCAAGCGAATTTTTTAGATTTCTTCAACAATTCAATGAAAGGCCGAGACCTTTCTGTCATTATTGGCAAGAATCTAGCAAGGGCTGCAATCCGCCCGGTCAGTCGTTGCACGTCCTTGACATTGCGAGGGCTGGCCATGTCGATGATGGCTCTACATTTGTCGGGGTTTGCCTCAATCCCCCTTTCAGACAACATGAAGCCCAAGAATTTACCGCCAGCTACACCAAATGTACATTTTTCAGGATTAAACCTCATACCATGTTTTCTGGCTTCTCCGAATACCTCCTCTAAGTGGTCAAGATGTTGCTTCAATGCGAGGGATTTAATTACCATGTCGTCTACATACACCTCCATGCATTTACCCACTTGTTTTTCAAAAATTTTGTTCATGAGTCGCTGGTATGTTGCTCCTGCATTCTTCAAACCAAACGGCATCACTCGATAACAAAAATTTGCAGAATTTGTGATGAATGCTGTTTTTTCCTCATCCGGGGGATACATTCGTATTTGATTATACCTAGAATAAGCATCCAAAAAGCTCAGTATTTTGTGACCGGCTACACCATCGACCAAGGTATCAATGTTTGGTAGGGGGTATGCGTCCTTTGGGCATGCTTTATTGAGGTCCGTGAAGTCCGTGCACATTCGCCATTTGCCACTGGCTTTTTTAACCATGACGATGTTGGCTAACCATGTTGAGTACCTGACTTCTCGGATAAAGTCAGCCTGTATTAGTTTGCTGGTTTCTTCGTTTGCTGCCTTTGCTCTATCACCACCAATTTTTCTCTTCTTTTGAGCTACCGGTTTGGCCCATTTGTAGACCGATAAGTGGTGACAAAGAAATGTTGGATCAATGCCAAGCATATCCGAGGCTGTCCAAGCAAACAAATCGGCGTTATCTAATAGCATCTTTTGGAGGATTTTCTTTTCTTGTACATTCAAACTGATCCCTAAATACGCAACTTGTTCTGGCTTTGCTCCTAGTTGGAAGGGTTGTTTGTTTTCATTGGGCTCGACTCGATATTCCTCATCCACTCTAGGATCGAGTTCAACATCCAACTCTTTTCCCAACCGAGGGGATACAATATTGACATCTCGGTTATTCCCATGAAAGGGCTTAAGGCGTAAACTTGCGAAGTAGCATTCCCTGGCTGTTTTTTGATTAGCATGGACGGTAACAATTCGGCCTTTTTCAGACGGAAATTTCATGGCGAAGTGCAGAGTGGACACTATGGCCTTCAATTTGTTCAGGGATGGTCTGCCGAATAGTATATTATAAGATGTGTTCGCATGTACTACAAGATAAGTGACTCTTATGCGTTTTCCCTCATGCTCTGATCCAAATGAGGTATACAAGTCAATACACCCCTTGGTATTTACTCGTTCCCCGGAAAAACTGACCAACGGTTCGTGATATTCTTTGAGCTCTTGATCTGAGATGCCTAATTGCTTGAATGTATTCCGGTATAGGATATCGGCCGAGCTCCCTTGGTCAATTAGTGTTTTTTTAACAGTACAGTTAAGAATGTCTACACTAATTACCATGGGATCATCCTGTACCGGATCGACTCATTGAAAGTCGTCGTCAGTGAACGTAATAGGCGGGATCCAGATTTTGCTGCCTAATAAAACATTATTAACCGAACGAACATGCCGAAGATGCCTCTTTCTAGCCGAATGGGTAAGTCCTCCACCAGCGAACCCTCCGGCTATGGTGTTAATGACCCTTTTCGGATACTTCTCTTGTTCAAATCTTCTAGCTGGGGGTTCTCTGGACCTGCTCCTGTGTCGTTCAAATTTTTTGTCGTCGGATCTCTTTGGTAAATCAGGGTGACGGTCTCTTCCTTTGTTAGGTTGCCTTATGGGACCTGTCTGTACAAAATCTTTCAAGTGTCCACCTTTAATCAATTCTTCAATTTTGTCTTGCCTTATGGTATCGGCAAGACTTACTTTTATCTGCCCGAGGAGGAGTGTTAGCGCGTCTAGGCATTCTCAATATTTCTGTGGCCAACGCTTGATCAAGTACTCTGGACCGATTAGTGTTGAGCGTTGTGTAGGAAGGATACTTAGGTCCTCGAGGTAGTCGTTCAAGTTTATTTCCTCTGTCGTTCCCCTGCCTTGCTTTAAAAGTCTCCCTCCTTTCTACATTTTTTGAGTTAGATCCTTGATCCATCCGTACCTGGTTTCGGTATTCGGATAATTCTTCCATTTGCATATACTTCGCAGCCCGACTCCTTAACTCATCTAGGTCAATCAGGGGTTTTTTGTAGAGGCTATTAACGAAGGGTCTTGGCTTCAACGCTGTTGTGAGGAGGTGCATAGCCACTGCTGGTTCCAAGTTATGAATTGAAAGAGTCACTTTGCCAAAGCGCTCCATGAACGCTCTAAGTGATTCTCCTTTCTCTTGGCGAATATTGACTAGGGCCAAGGATGTTAAAGGATGAGGCTGGCTTGTGGCGAACTGCAAGTTGAAACGTCTTGTGAGAGTTGCGAAAGAGTCGATGGAGAGAGGGGGGAGTCGGGTGAACCAACTGAGTTCAGGTCCTCAGAGTGAAGTAGGAAAAATTCTACACCATAAGGCGTCACTTTCTGTGTACAGACCGACCTGTGTTGTAAAGATGTCCACGTGCTCTCCGGGGTCGGATGTGCCATCGTATTTGTCTATTACCAACCTTCTCCAATTATCGGGCAACTTAGCTTCCAGAATGTGGTGAATGAACGGGCTCCGGTTCACAAGGTCGTCCCGGTCATTTCTGGTTACCGATTGATATACCTGTCTTGATTTTTCTTGCAGCGCTGAGGATTCCCCTTGATCTTGGATGACGGGAGTAGTTAGGGAGGGGACATGTGTCCTTATCTCTTCCCTTAGGCCGACATTTTCCCTTCTTAGGGCTGAGAGTTCCAGTGCATCTCTTTCGCGCTCCTTCTTCATCTCCATCATTTCTGCCTTAAGCTGCCTTAGTACAGCTAGAATGCTTTCCTCTGTTCCTCCCTGCATCACCACGTCAGGTACTGGTTCCTCTGGTGTGACGCCCTCCATTTGTTGCCTAGAGGTCCCTTCTTGCTGGCTTCTCGTCATTACCATGCTTAATCCTGAACAATGAAGTTAATCGGGCCCCACGGTGCGCGCCAAAATGTTCCTGCTTGAGAAACGACTGTCTTCAAACCTCTGATCAGGCGTCCTTCTGACGATTTGCTGATATGGAGGGTACCTGCAAAAGGCACTCCGATGGTAAAGTCAGGATTCGGTTCTGAGCAATAAATGTTATTTAATGATGGGAAGTCAACTCCTTACCTGTATTTCCTACATTCCTTTTATAGGCATTCTATTGGGCTGATGGGCCTGAGTCAGCCTTTATACTGTGGCCTATTTTCCTGGTTTAAATAATACTTTGATTATTACCCTTAATTGGATTATTTACCTTTTAATCCTGACGAGGGGTACCCGGTCTAGTATACCAAGTAGGTATTCGGTTTCTTTTTCCTATAGGTGGGACCGAGTTGATTCCTTTCCCAGTACATAGTTTTTATTTCTTTGGGCGCTAAGGCTCCTTTTAATTATTAAAAAAATAAGAAAAAATTATAAATTAATTGAAAGCTAAAAAATTAAAACAATAAGATATAATTTTGAAGTTGACCTTGTATAAAAATTTAACAATTATTATATTTTTATAAATATATAATCATATAGTTAAATTTTTAAATAACATTATGTGTTCATATAAATTTGGTTTAAATTTGATATTTTGTTTGTAAGTGAATCTAAAATTTGATATGATTTAGTTAAAAAAAAAAATTAAATTTTAGAATTCTCGTATTTGTTATAGAATTGAATTAATATATGAATTTTTTAAAATTGAATTGTATCAAAGGTTATTTATTAAAAAAAATTACTTTTATTTATAAATTTGAGTTGTTACTCTCAAGTAGATATTATTTAAAAAAAAATTCTCATTAAGTCATGTATACTGCATTTAATTTTTCATTTCTCTTAAATTTAAAATATGGACATAATTTGGATGAGGGATAACATGAGTTAACATATTAGATAACTCACAAATAAGTTAACAAAATGATTTATTATAGTAGATTTTAAAATTTTAAATATTTAAAAATTAATCCTTATCAATTTTTGCAGATAAATAATATAGATCTCTTAAATATTTAAAATAGTTCATTCTTTAATATAATCTTTTTTAAGGTTAAGAAAGAACGTAATTGTTTATTCACAAAAAACTATATAATATTCTCTTAAACTCACTTATATCTTTATTTTTAAAAAAGTCAAGTAATTCTCTTTTGAAATATTATTGTAAAAACTTTGTTTAATTTTTCTTTCTTTTATTTTAATTTTTTTTATTTTTCCTCCTTAATAGTATGCAAACCCATTTGTCATATCTTCCCTAAACCCACATAATCATTCTCCTTTTTTATTGTTACAATCTTAATTGTAAGGTTTTTTGATTTGAAAACATTGCTTACTCATCTCAATTATCTTAAAAATTGTCATTTTTGTTTTATCAGAATAAGGGTGATGATTAAATAGATTTTGTTGAACCAAAAACAATGTATGAATTCACTTCGCTATAAATTTAGCTTAAGTCAGAGGTATCCGCTTAAGCTAAATTTACACAGAGATGAATCTAATTTGTTCATCAAATTCGCTTAAGCTAACAAATATACGCTTAAGCTAATCAAAAACTAAGATAAATTTAAATTTTTTGTCAAAATTAGCTTATGCCAAAACACATGAACTTAAGCAAATTAAAGATATAAATGAATCTAACACATATTTGCTTAAGCTCATAGGTTGTGGCTTAAGCTAATATAAGACAAAGATGAATCTAATTTGTCACATACGTTTAAACTAATCAAAAATTTAGATGAATTTATGTTTTTTTTGTCAAAATCAGCTTAAGCCACAACCTATAAGCTTAAACGAATTAAAGACATATATGAATGTAACACATATTCGCTTAAATTTATCGGTTGTGGCTTAAGTTAATCTAAGTCAGAGATTAATCTAAAATACTCGTTATAATTAGTTTAAGCATATAGTTTAATTAAAATGAATTACAACTTGGTTAAAATGATATTTCATTTAAAAAAAATATATTTTTCTATAAATAAGCTTAAATCCATGTTATGATTAGTAAAAATGTCAATAATAAAATATATTTGACAAGCACAAAGTTGCAAAAATTTTATAAGGTATAATAACATTTTATGTTGTCGAATTTTGAGGCAAGGATATTGTTTAATTGAATTTATGTTTTAATTACCATACATCTCTTACTTTGTGTTAATTTCTAAAAGATTAATCATCTTATTTATATAGGATAACATGATTTGGATTTTGTAAAAAGTGTTCAGAACTTGATAATATATAAATAAATACATTGAGAATAATATGAGTAATGTAGTAGAGAAGGTAACTCGTTTCCTGAAGTACTTAGATCAACAAAGGTATTATTAAAGTTAGTTGAATAGTAGTACAATGTTTTTACCTTGGACTCAAATTATATTTTTGAAAGTGTTTTTTTGCTTTTGTTATTGGGATTGGATGAAATTTTGTTAGACATAGAACATGAAGGTGAATTCATTTTGAAGATGAAGACGAAACTGAAGTTGAGGAAAACTTGTGCTGATGATGCAAATGACACTAATATAAATGATGAAATGTTTGATGGAGATGACAATGATGTGGTAATTAAAATTGATAGCTTGAAAGACATTCTAGAAATGGATCTGAAAAACTTTAGCCCTCACTAAATAAGAAATGTTCATTTCATAAGTTTAGACGTAGCATACTTGTTTTATACATGGTGGTATGCAAGACTAGATGATTTTTCTGCTAGAAAATACACAATCCTTAGAAACAATAAACATGAAATTTTACAGCAAACATTTGTTTATTATAGGCAAGGATTTTGTGTGAAGACTTCAACCAATGAGAATAGTGAGCATCAAAGTAAACCTTTAACGAGGTGTGGTTGCAAAGCAAAATTTAAAGTCTTACTAATAATGATCTTCTATTCATCAACACAAAACTTTCTCAAATAAGATGCTTTTAGAGGGCCATCAAAAAGATAATTAAATCATCTTACCTAGAAACATTCTCATTCATTTTTATGATGGCTTAGGTCTATTGTACAATGAAAGTCTTACTAACAATGGTCTCGCTTATCTTTAAAACATGAAATGATATAGCTTAGTGACGATTTCTTTAATGAATTGGGTGTGAGGTTACACAATCCCAATATTCCACGATTGTTCTTGAATCAGCGAAGAACATGTGTACAATTTCGCAACTTACCGTTACCATTTCGCTTAAGCCAAAGTTATTAGTTTAAGCTAAATTTAGACAGAGATGAGTCTAATTTTTTTGTCAAACTCGCTTAAGCTAGTACACACTCGCTTAAGCTAATCAAAGACTGAGATGAATCTAAATATTTTATCAAAATTAGCTTAAGCCATAAACCATAAGCTTAAGCTAATTAAAAAACATATATGAATCTAACACGCATTCGCTTAAGCTTATGAGTTGTGACTTAAGCTAATCTAAGACAAAAATTAATTTAAAATACTCGTTACAATTATCTTAAGCGTATAGTTTAGCTAAAGCGAATTACAACCATCCGTTTCCTATTTCATGTTAATTTCTAAAAGATTAAGCATCTTATTTATACAGGGTGACATGATTTGGATTTTATAAAAAGTGTTCAGAACTTGATAATATATAAATAAATAGAGAATAATATGAGCAATATAACAAGAGGTAGCTTGTACAATAAAATTCTTGCTAATAATGGTCTCGCTTATCTTTGATTATTTTCTTAGAATATGAAATGTCATAGCTTAGTGATGGTTTCCTTAATGAGTTGGGTGTGAGGTTACACAATCTCAATATTCCATGGTTGTTTCTGAATCATCAAAGAACGTGTATGCAATTTTGTAACTTACTGTTACATTTGTGCTTAAGCGGGCTTAAGCACGTACATATCCGCTTAAGCACATATCATACATAAAGTCTCGAGTATAGGAAACAAATCCACTTCAAGCAGTTCATCTTCGCTTCAATGATTCATATATAGCTTACCTCTTTGCTCCATTTTAGAATAATGCTTAATTTTTCACACAAGCATAAGCTAATATGCTTCGCATAAGCACATATGGTAACTTCAAAGTTCAATTTAAACTTAGCTTAAGCGTGTGATATTTGTAGCTTAAACCCAATATTTTTAGTTTAACCTAAAATTTATTCGCTGAAACTATATTTAATTCGCTTATGCTGGATTTATTTTCTTTAAGCTATGTTTATCTCTTAAGGTTTAACTTATTAGTTTAAGCTAGTATTATAAGCTTAAGCGGTACACAATCCGCTTAAGCTGGGGATGCGGTAGCTTAAGCGTTTAATCTCCAACTTAAGCAATATATGTTTAGCTTTAGCAAAATAGTAAGTCCCTATCATTTATATAAGCAAGATAACAAATTATTAGCTACTTTATTTTATGGACTCATTCTTATTTTCACCTAAACTACATATTTCAATTTAACAGTAAAATATTTTTTTTCGTTTTGTTAATCACCATAAAATACAGTAGTCCAACAAAATACAATTTAATTAATTTGATATCATGTTACTTAACTAAGTCATATGTTACAGTCACAAATTACAAACTCAAAATAACAGAGTATAAAAATTATATTTTTTTGTGAATTTTTATTTTTTATTATAATTTTAATTTAGACATACATTTCAATTATAAAAGTTGGCATTAATCCTAGGAATGTATTTAGTAAAGCTTTTTAATATTCAAAATCTTAATTAAATAACTAATATGACCGTTAAATAATATATTTTTCATTTGTTAATGGTATAACAAGTATTTTTTAAATGGTATTGAACTTTTTTTACAATTTTAGCAATAGTATTTAAAATCTTAAGACAAATTATCATAAAAATAGTTAACTCATCATTAGATTTATTAAAACAATAAGTAGAATAAGGTGGAAGGTCATCAAATTTGTTTTAATTTTTCTATGATATTATTTTTAAACATTTTAATTACTTTATCTTATTATGAAAATTTTAAAACAAATTTCTTAAATTGATTCCAATGACAATTTTTTAATTTTCAAAAGTTTGTGAATATCTCTAATTACTATTGTTTTATTTTTTGCTTATTTCGATAATTTTTTTAATATAGCTCATGATATAAAATTTTATGAACAAATTTAAGATATGAACAAATTATGAAAAATTATTTATTTAATAATAAGTTAATTAAGATGTATTCCCAAACAAACCCTAAATTTATGGCAAAAGTTTAACATAAAAAAATATTAATTAAGTAATTAATTAAACTATATACTTCAAATATTATTTTTTATCATACAAAAACGACTTGTGACATTAAAATTTGCATTCTCTTACAAATGAGCTTAACAATATTTTTAATAATAATGTCTGTCATTGCATGAATTTGCTTAATAAATTCAAATACATTTAAAGGCTTCTTTAATGGCTTCATTCCTACATATTAATCTCCATTGTCCATCCTTGCCCGTGTCTTGACTCTTAGACAAATTATTTTCTCATAATTTGTGTACCTCATATGATAAAATTTTCATATATATTGTTAAATATAAAATAAGAAATTATAATATATTCTTTATAGTCTATCCCTCCTTACGATAAAACCTATAGAGAGACATGCATATAAACCTTGATTGAGCTCTCTTTTTTCATGTGGTAAACTTTTCATATAATTACTAATGGAGACTTTTGATATATATTAATTTCAAAATATACTTCGTGAATTCATATAATTTTTTTTATAACCTAAAATATTAATAAGTTAAAATTTAGTCTTTGTCATCAACTTTCCTTCTGTTGGTTTCAATAGTTAACTCATCATTAGATTTATTAAAACAATAAGTAGAATAAGGTGGAAGGTCATCAAATTTGTTTTAATTTTTCTATGATATTATTTTTAAACATTTTAATTACTTTATCTTATTATGAAAATTTTAAAACAAATTTCTTAAATTGATTCCAATGACAATTTTTTAATTTTCAAAAGTTTGTGAATATCTCTAATTACTATTGTTTTATTTTTTGCTTATTTCGATAATTTTTTTAATATAGCTCATGATATAAAATTTTATGAACAAATTTAAGATATGAACAAATTATGAAAAATTATTTATTTAATAATAAGTTAATTAAGATGTATTCCCAAACAAACCCTAAATTTATGGCAAAAGTTTAACATAAAAAAATATTAATTAAGTAATTAATTAAACTATATACTTCAAATATTATTTTTTATCATACAAAAACGACTTGTGACATTAAAATTTGCATTCTCTTACAAATGAGCTTAACAATATTTTTAATAATAATGTCTGTCATTGCATGAATTTGCTTAATAAATTCAAATACATTTAAAGGCTTCTTTAATGGCTTCATTCCTACATATTAATCTCCATTGTCCATCCTTGCCCGTGTCTTGACTCTTAGACAAATTATTTTCTCATAATTTGTGTACCTCATATGATAAAATTTTCATATATATTGTTAAATATAAAATAAGAAATTATAATATATTCTTTATAGTCTATCCCTCCTTACGATAAAACCTATAGAGAGACATGCATATAAACCTTGATTGAGCTCTCTTTTTTCATGTGGTAAACTTTTCATATAATTACTAATGGAGACTTTTGATATATATTAATTTCAAAATATACTTCGTGAATTCATATAATTTTTTTTATAACCTAAAATATTAATAAGTTAAAATTTAGTCTTTGTCATCAACTTTCCTTCTGTTGGTTTCAATAGTTAACTCATCATTAGATTTATTAAAACAATAAGTAGAATAAGGTGGAAGGTCATCAAATTTGTTTTAATTTTTCTATGATATTATTTTTAAACATTTTAATTACTTTATCTTATTATGAAAATTTTAAAACAAATTTCTTAAATTGATTCCAATGACAATTTTTTAATTTTCAAAAGTTTGTGAATATCTCTAATTACTATTGTTTTATTTTTTGCTTATTTCGATAATTTTTTTAATATAGCTCATGATATAAAATTTTATGAACAAATTTAAGATATGAACAAATTATGAAAAATTATTTATTTAATAATAAGTTAATTAAGATGTATTCCCAAACAAACCCTAAATTTATGGCAAAAGTTTAACATAAAAAAATATTAATTAAGTAATTAATTAAACTATATACTTCAAATATTATTTTTTATCATACAAAAACGACTTGTGACATTAAAATTTGCATTCTCTTACAAATGAGCTTAACAATATTTTTAATAATAATGTCTGTCATTGCATGAATTTGCTTAATAAATTCAAATACATTTAAAGGCTTCTTTAATGGCTTCATTCCTACATATTAATCTCCATTGTCCATCCTTGCCCGTGTCTTGACTCTTAGACAAATTATTTTCTCATAATTTGTGTACCTCATATGATAAAATTTTCATATATATTGTTAAATATAAAATAAGAAATTATAATATATTCTTTATAGTCTATCCCTCCTTACGATAAAACCTATAGAGAGACATGCATATAAACCTTGATTGAGCTCTCTTTTTTCATGTGGTAAACTTTTCATATAATTACTAATGGAGACTTTTGATATATATTAATTTCAAAATATACTTCGTGAATTCATATAATTTTTTTTATAACCTAAAATATTAATAAGTTAAAATTTAGTCTTTGTCATCAACTTTCCTTCTGTTGGTTTCAATAGTTAACTCATCATTAGATTTATTAAAACAATAAGTAGAATAAGGTGGAAGGTCATCAAATTTGTTTTAATTTTTCTATGATATTATTTTTAAACATTTTAATTACTTTATCTTATTATGAAAATTTTAAAACAAATTTCTTAAATTGATTCCAATGACAATTTTTTAATTTTCAAAAGTTTGTGAATATCTCTAATTACTATTGTTTTATTTTTTGCTTATTTCGATAATTTTTTTAATATAGCTCATGATATAAAATTTTATGAACAAATTTAAGATATGAACAAATTATGAAAAATTATTTATTTAATAATAAGTTAATTAAGATGTATTCCCAAACAAACCCTAAATTTATGGCAAAAGTTTAACATAAAAAAATATTAATTAAGTAATTAATTAAACTATATACTTCAAATATTATTTTTTATCATACAAAAACGACTTGTGACATTAAAATTTGCATTCTCTTACAAATGAGCTTAACAATATTTTTAATAATAATGTCTGTCATTGCATGAATTTGCTTAATAAATTCAAATACATTTAAAGGCTTCTTTAATGGCTTCATTCCTACATATTAATCTCCATTGTCCATCCTTGCCCGTGTCTTGACTCTTAGACAAATTATTTTCTCATAATTTGTGTACCTCATATGATAAAATTTTCATATATATTGTTAAATATAAAATAAGAAATTATAATATATTCTTTATAGTCTATCCCTCCTTACGATAAAACCTATAGAGAGACATGCATATAAACCTTGATTGAGCTCTCTTTTTTCATGTGGTAAACTTTTCATATAATTACTAATGGAGACTTTTGATATATATTAATTTCAAAATATACTTCGTGAATTCATATAATTTTTTTTATAACCTAAAATATTAATAAGTTAAAATTTAGTCTTTGTCATCAACTTTCCTTCTGTTGGTTTCAATTGCTCTTTTGGTAAGTTTTATGCATCAACTTCAAGATTCTCAATAAGATGCAGGTGCTTGTTGAACTTTTCAAGTCTAAAAAATAGAGGAAGAAGGAGAAAGAGTAAAGAATTAAAAGGCATATTTCATATTTCACTCATTTCGCTTAAGCTATATTGGTTATAATGGAAGAATTTATTTACCTTGATATTCGCTTAAGTTAATATTCACTGTTTAAGTTAAAATTGTACTGTATTTCATGGATTAAGCTATTTATCTCTCGCTTAAGCGAATTATCTCCCATGAGTAAATTTTTGTTGATAATTTTAGCTTAAGCGAAAAAATACGGCTTAAGCTAAAGTTGCAGAATTTGTGTGATATAAACCGACCATTATACAGGCAGAACATGAAAAAGATTTAAAAAAGCATTGAATAATGTATTAATACAAATGTCATTTTCGTGATGAATTGAGATTGTAAGAGTAAATGTAAAAATATTAATTCTAAAAATCATTAACTTCAAAATTAGGATTTGTGGAGAATCCATAATTGTTGTCATTACATTTTTTATTAGCAATAGGGGCGTCATCCAACATGCTTCTATCTAAGTAATTTCATTTATACTTTATTCCCTCTACCACCCTCACACTTCTAAGTTCCTTTGCCCTATGCCTTTAGTTAGTATGCTTTAAATGATCATTTCACTCTTCAAAGATGAGCAAAGTACTTCAAGGGATTAGATGGCAGAAATCTCTACTAAAAATTGAATACAATAATTTATAATTTTTTTATTTATATCCTTATTTAGTTTTCAAGTGAGGAAAACTTTCATAGAGTGAGCCCTTTAATTACAAGTTTTCAAGATATAAAATAAAAAATTTTAAAGATCCAAAAAAAATTTATGAAAATTTTTATGAAAAATTAAATAATAAATATACATAAACTTATATTATTAAGATATCAACAAAAGATTTAAAAATAATTACTGACTTATAAATTTAATAACATACTAACTCATGCCGGTGTCCAACCATAATTTGAAATCGACAAATGGGGCTAAAAAAAAGCAGAGTATATAGAAGGGTAAAAGAATAAATAGTGGGAAGGGATGCGAATATAGGAGGCGGGAATGGTGGAAGGGTTGTGTGCCAGAGTGAAAGGAAAGCACAGAACACAAATAGGAAAACACACAAATAGGAAAACACACAAATAGTAAAACACCAAATTCATCCTCTGTTCTTTTCTATAGGATTTCCTCCCAAAATCGGAATGAACAATGGATTATGGGGGAAGAGTCGCCAAAGAATAAAGTCAAGTTCCTCTGCAGTCACGGCGGAAAGGTCCTTCCGCGACCCTCCGATGGAGTCCTCAAGTACGTCGGCGGAGAGACTCGCGTTGTTTCCGTGCCTCGTGACATCACCTTCTCTGGTAGGTATTCAATCAATTTCTATTTTATTATCATTGTTGTTATTATTATTATTATTATTAAGATGATGGAATTGATTATCAGAGCTCATGAAGAAGCTGAGTAGCATGTTCGACGGAGACATGGTGCTCAAGTACCAGCTGGTCCCGGAAGATCTGGACGCGTTGGTGTCGGTTAGAGCGGAGGAAGATCTGAAGCACATGATTGAGGAACACGATCGCCACCAAACAGGTTTGCTCCGTGCTTTCCTGTTTCCTCCAAAGCCAGTAGTAGTAGAAAACACGCCGCCAACAGAGGCTTATCTGTTGGAGCAGCGTTACATAGATGCCATTAATGGCATCGTACGAACGAGCTCAATAGGGAAGGGCTCTGCTTGTTCTACGCCTAAATCCACCTCTCCAGATGCTGCACCCAGTGCTGCAGAATCCCCATTCCTTGCTTCAGCTTCTTCTCGGCTTGCAATGCAAAGAGTGAGAAGCTCTCCTAGCCTAACAAACCTAAACGACCACACGCATCATCACCAGCACGCTCTTGGTTATACCTCTTCTACGTCTAGACCCCCACAAGATCCTCAAGCGGGGATTGGGCTGGGGAGGCCCATTCCCTTGGGCGGAAGTAGTAGTAGGGGTGCTGGGGGTTCCGCTTTTAACTATTATTACTCGCCCTCCCCCGCCAGACCCCACAACAAAGCCTATGCATACCAAGACGACACTGCCTATGGTGGCCATCTTATGGTCGAAAGAGTTCATAGCGTGCCTCGGAGTCCTATTAGGTCTATATGGGAGTAACCCCACCAACATCCTTCTCTACCCATTTCTGTATATATATCATTCCTTCCGCATCAATGCTTTTTGTACATAAACATTTGTAGCAATTTAGACAAATAATATAATAGAGATTAAAAAACTTATAAAGTATTATAACTCATCTCATTACGGTTGTAAAAGTTGCATAAAAACCTATTATGTTATAGTCACAATCACATACTGCTATTCAAAACAATATCTATTTCATTTGCTAATGAAATACCATTGCCAGGATTTCCAAATTAGTATTGGCTGTAATTAAGATGGTCACCTTTAAACATCAGTTATTCTTGTGTATTCTTAAAACATTTGAATAACAAACAGAATAATTTACACGTTTGTGCCACGCCTTTGCTTTGCCCAAGAAAGTCAATTCGCCGAAATGAAAAATCGTGTTGCTTTAAGGGTATACCACTTAGTTGTGTGTGGAATACTAAAGAAAAATAACAGGCTTAATAAATGTCGTTATTTTTAAAATTAATCTTTTATAATTATTTAATTCGTAACATATTAAAATTGAAAAATAATTCTTATCGTTCAAAAATTTATTAAAATTTAAACCTGATAAAAACTAAATTTTTATTCACTTACAGAAAAAACTATTTAAATCACAATAAAATGACCGGGTAAAATCTATCGTACCGGGAGCATGCAGTGCCCCCTCCCAGAGTGTACTAAATCTAATTTCACATATAAAGTTTTAGAAAAACATTTTTTAATTATTATTAATAAATAGTCCATTAGTTTAAAGTTTAAAAACTAATATTATATAATAACTTCAAATCTCAAATCAAATATTTTTATTCTAAATCCTATCTCCATCCCCGCCTGCTTCATCTCCGTCTGCCATTGCTGCCACTGTGCCAAACGGTTTTCCTTCCTCCAATTGGTTTTATCTTCTCGCCACTGTAAATTCCTTCAACTGAATCTTCGATGATATTTTTCGATTGCTCAGAGTCGTTGGATTTACAATGTTTACCCCCACTTTGTCGGATCATTGAGAAAAATATGCTTTGTAAGATATAGATATAGCTCTATAGTATTAAAAATGGTTAACAATTTGCATGAGAGTAATTTGCGGGACTCGACCTGTAATGTGATTATGGACAGAAGTTTTGTCATAAAATTGTGTCTCAACCTGTAAATAAGTAATATAGCAGAAAGTTAAGCAATCAGACTTAGGGCAAACATATCCTGGCAACTTTTAGGCAATTCTTTCAATTTAATTATATTGTTTGTGTCTATAATAAGTAGTTCACTGATAAGAATTTAGGATTATACGAGGATTTGAATGAGACATTCCTCTTAAGATACTACCTCAAGAAGTTTCTACAGTTATCTTTTTCAGAAACACATGACAAAATCTGAGAACAGCAAAGAAAAGAGGAAGCTCCATTGAGTTATTTGTCAATGGGTCTTATTAAGAGGTGATACCAGAGAAATACTTCAATAAGCTAGGAATCTAGGGCTCATTGATGTTCACATCTCAAGTGATAGGATTTAAAACTTTGAGGGAAAAGTATGGATACTGTTGATTGGAAAATCAACTGTTGAAAATACATGCACATGAATAACAAACAAGGAGATTTGTTAGAATCTACTCCCTTAATTTTCCAATCTAAGATTATAAATCTACACTTTCCCCTCTAAGATGCACCCCTCGCTTTACAAGATTTAAATCCTTAATATAATATCAGTGGTTAAAATAGATCATATAACTTATGAATAGCCTAATAACAATCAGTGTAACCAATTACATATGCACTATAACAGCAGGTAACATCTTAACAGTGTGCAAAAGAATATACATTTTGTGATTGTATTCATGACCTAAATCAAGTTAAATATCATGACGGTAAGCATCACATTCACTGAATATTTAGCAAGTAATAAAAAAAACTAAATAACCACATTAAAAAATCCTTTAGAAAATACCACCCTCGTCAAAACAAAAGTGGTAACTATTTTTTTTTTAAAAGCTCCAACATAATCATTTAATTATAATTCTAACATGATAGCCATTAACCATAGTTTATTAACAAGCATGTAAAGGTTAGACAGAGTGTACCAAGTAGAGGGCCTATCTGAAATAATAATCAAAATTATCATTATACAGGTCGACAAACGGGAGCTGTGCCAAACGGTTTTCCTTCCTCCAATTGGTTTCATCTTCTCGCCGTTGCAAAGTCCTTCAAGTGAGTTTTTGACGATATTTTTCTATTGCTCAATGTCATTGGGTTTATGATGTTTATCTCCACTTTCCTTTGTCAGATCATGGAGAAAAATATGCTTTGTAAAATATAGATATAGATCTACAATATTCAAAATGGTTAACAATTTGCAGGACTCGATGGGTTTCAATTATAAAGGAGGAATTTTTAGAATTTGATTGTGTACCTCACTCATTTTCTTCTCTAATATTCTTCCTTCTTTAATCAAAATTCTCTTGTAAAAGCTTGTAACTCAGAATAGAATAAATATAAGACTTGAGAGATTGTATCTCTTTGTTTATGATATAAAAAATGTATTACCACCCCTTCAAGAACAGTTGAAACTTGCTTCCCTGGTGAGGAAGGTTCTTGGCTTGAGAGTATGAAGGGAATTTGTGGGAAGCATCTCCTAGTGCATAATCTATGGTCATTCTTTATTCTATTAAGATATTTGAAGTTTTTTCTCATATTTACTTATCTTAAGCGTGTTTTCTGTTGTTTGTTAATGAATGTTAGTTTCTTCAGAAGCACACCACTTTTTTGGAAGTTATGATGAAATATTCAAATCAGGATTCAGCAACTTCATAACTAATGGAATGTTTGTGTTTTTTTTTTTTTTTTTTTTAAGGTAAATCAGCATGTATGCTTATAAACTAGAATAGTTATATGTTTATTTAAACACTTATATGTTAAGCTTATGATGAAAGCAGATTTGACTTTATGTTAATCTTAATCCATATTTAGCTCTTGCAATGTTACATTCCTCAAAAGGTTCGAGTTTCAACTGTGCTTAGCAATGTACCTTTTGTGTTGAATCTGGATTGTGATCAATACATCAATAGCAAGGCTCTTAGGGAGGCTATGTGCTTTTAATGGACCCTCAACTTGGAAAGAAGTTATGTCCAATTTCAGCGAAGGTTTGATAGCATTGATTTCAATGACAGATGTGCTAATCACAATACTGTATTCTTTGATGTATAACTGAAACCCCAGTACAAATTGCAATTTCATCATCTGATATTTAACTTCTGCCTTATATTTTGCTTCGTTTATAATTTTATATCGTAGATCAACATGAAATGCCTTGATGGAATTCAAGGTCTAGCGTATGTTGGCACTGGATGTGTGTTCAACTGACAGGCTTTATATGGCTATGAGCCGCTATCTGAGAAAAAGCCAAAGATGAGGAGTTGCTGCTGTTGTTTTGATGACCCTCAGTCCACATTTGATGATGAAGAGACTGACGAAGAGCTTGAAGACTTCCTTGATGAGCAAGAGGAACCACCCTTCATCTCCCCAAAAAATTTAGAAAGACTATTTTGACTAATGAGAAGGCAAAACAGAACCCCTACCATGGTAGTCCTTTGGTCAATACTTCTAACATTAATTTTCTCTACGATTTGGGTGAGAATTGATGTTTTCTTGCCCAAGCAGACAAGTCCATACTCAAACAATGTGGCATCAAATGCTAAGGTGGTGGAGATGAGTTGGGAAGCTCTCTTTCCATTTCATTTCAACCCAGTTCTTTTGTTGGAGTATTTTACCGTAATGAGAAAGTGAAACAATTTATATAATCCAAAACAACACTAGTGGTGTTACTAGTGATTATATGTATAGGCTGGATCTTTCGATGGATGGATAGATTTGTGGTACAATATTTCATTAGTTAAAAACTAAATATTGCTTTACACATCATGAAACTATCATATTCCTTAAAATTTCTAATTTAATAATAATATATATCATGCTATCTTTCTATGATATCATACACTACTATATCAAGTTATCCTTCTATGCAACTCGACCTTGTTTGAGAAACATGCCTCTCAAATCAGCCAGCCACCTTGATGCATTACACTTCAACCTTAAATTTTGGTTTATTCTAAAATTGAGTAAATTTTGTAGCTAACAAATCATATTTATATTTGTATATAATTATTGGATGATTTGCTGTTGTTTGAATGAATATTTGAAGTATTATGTGAATGATAGCATAAATTGCAAATAAAACGAGACTAATATTAGGTCTCGTTTTGAAACAAGGTGTTGCCCACTGGTGATATGTGTCTCTGATTCAAGTATAGGAACATAACTTTAAATACTTGGACATGTTTTTATAATGATAAGTTTAATGCATTTTGGGTTTTCATTATTATTCAGTTTAATAGGTTCTCGTTTTCTACACAAAAATAAAGATTAGTAATAATAGTACGATTTATCTATTTAAATCGAAATAAAATACCAATTAACAATTCTGTTTTTGTTTTGCACTTTCAGGGAAGCTAAACCATTAGAAGAATCGTTTTAGCTGAGAATCTGTTATCTAATTTCTTGTTAAGCTACTGCTAAAATCATCTTACAACAAGGAATATTACGATAATTTTAGCCTATAAATTCCACCCATAATACCAGTATTTCTCAGACAAAATTTCCAGGGTACAAAACGAGTATCAATGAGCACCTATAAAAACCCGTCTCTAAATTTTATGAAACACGCACCCACTCTTCAATGACAAAAATCATTTAAGAATTTATAATAGAAAAAACATAAAAAAGAAAAGAAAAAGAAAACTAATAGATGATCTCTGCAACTCATTTAGAGTCGGTGAAATCTGCATCAATCACGTCCCCGTCCGGTCCCTTGCCTGATGATTCTGAGGGGCCAGACTCGGCACCGGGTGGTGTAGGCCCTGCGCCAGGAGCTCCTGGTTGGTTGTAAAGGGACTGGCCAAGTTGCATAACTTCCTGATTAAGGGCAGCCATGGCATCTTTAATAGCTTGGGTCGAACCACCAGAAATTGCATCTTTAAGCTCTCCTAGTTTTGCTTCAACCTTCTCTTTCACAGGACCAGGAACCTTGTCTCCAAGTTCTTTCAACTGCTTCTCAGTCTGGTAGACCACAGAATCTGCCTGGTTCTTCGTGTCAATGGTATCCCTCTTCTCCTTGTCCTCCTTTGCAAATCTCTCGGCCTCCTTCACCATTCTCTCTACCTGCATTTCATAGGAGAGATCATCGTAAGCATCATAAAACTTACTACCTCAAATGTCATGACCGTAAGAATGGAAATTCTTTGATAAATTCATCCCGAAAGAAGCAACCGGCAATAAAAACAGAATTTATCAGTACAAGTAAATTGATTGACAGCCATAGAGGATACCTCATCAGTAGGCAAGGTACTAGCACCAGTAATGGTAATATCTTGCTTCTTCCCCGTGCCCTTGTCTACAGCAGTGACTGAGAGAATGCCATTGGCATCAATGTCAAATTTCACCTCAATCTGAGGTACCCCACGAGGTGCAGGAGGGATTCCGTCCAATCGGAAGCTACCAAGTGATTTGTTATCCCTTACAAATTCTCTCTCACCCTGAAGGACATTGATTTCTACACTGGTTTGCCCATCAGCAGCGGTTGAGAAAACCTCAGACTTCGAGGTAGGAAGAGTAGTGTTTCTAGGGATAATTTTAGTCATTACACCACCAAGAGTTTCCAGACCTAAAGATAAAGGAGTGACATCCAACAGCACAATGTCGCTAACATCTCCAGCCAAAACACCAGCCTAAAATAAATTCCAAAAAGCATTAGTCAATAAACTGAAGTTGTCTGTACCATCCCCTGCCTCCATAAATTAAATAATTCATCTATGAAAAACAACTAAAACACACCTGAACTGCAGCTCCAAGGGCAACCACTTCATCAGGATTGACAGTGACGTTTGGGTCCTTCCCAGTCATCTTCTTTACAAGCTCCTGAACAGCAGGGATACGTGTTGATCCCCCCACAAGGATCACCTCGTCAAGATCCTTAAAGGACAATTTTGCATCCCTCAATGCATTTTCAACTGGTGTCTTGAGCCTGAAACACAATTCACACGTGTACTACTATATCTCAGTAGTCTGTTCGGGTCAATCATTCCAACTCGGTGCACTTCAAATTAGAGAGAAGAACGGATTCAGTTATCATTACCTGTCAAGAAGATCTGAGCATAATTCCTCGAACTTGGCCCTGGTAAGGGTGGTCTCAATATGCTTGGGGCCATCAGCTGTCGCAGTTATGAATGGCAAACTGAAAACATAGACAGTAACGGTCAGTTGTTTGCACAAATCATAAGAGGCATACAGAAAAACAACTGGATTCGGTGCTATTTGCTCACTGACAAAGTAAATACCTGATGTTCGTTTGAGTCAATGATGACAGCTCCATCTTTGCTTTCTCGGCTGTCTCAGTGAGGCGCTGAAGAGCTTGTTTGTCAACCAAAAGGTCTATGCCCTCATCTCTCCTGAAGTTTCCGGCCAGCCAGTCAACAATTCTCTACACCCAGCGAACAATAATAGGAAACAGTTAGTAAAAACAACCCAATCAGAGAACAAATCAATTTATAGTAGTACTCAAGATAAGAAAGAATCCCCAACCTTGTCGAAGTCATCACCGCCCAAGTGTGTATCACCAGAAGTAGACAACACTTCGAACACTCCATCACCGACCTCAAGCACTGAGATGAAGTTAAACACCAATCAATCCACTAGGCTCAACACAAAAACAAAACATACAATTTCAAACTTGAAATGACAATTGGAGCGGCATCGAATACCTGAGACATCAAAAGTACCGCCTCCAAGGTCAAACACCAAAATTGTTTCATTGTTTTTCTTTTCAAATCCGTAGGCCAAAGAAGCAGCAGTGGGTTCATTGATGATACGAAGAACTTCCAGACCAGCAATTCGACCAGCATCCTTGGTAGCAGTCCTTTGCGAATCATTGAAGTAAGCAGGCACAGTAACAACGGCCTTCGTCACTTTATCGTTCAAAAACTTGGAAGCATCATCCACAAGCTTCCTCAAAACCTATGGCAAACCACATAACATGTGAACTCAAGAAACAAGACCTCGAATCTCAAAAAAGTTCAAAACTTTAAGCAACGGAAGTATCACGAAGTGAAAAGACACGAGGAAAAAAAAAAAGGACCTGCGCAGAGATTTCTTCAGCTGCAAACTGCTTGCCAATGGCGGGGCATTCGAGTTTGACGTTGCCATTCTCATCCCTTATGACCCTGTAAGAGACCTGCTTAGACTCTTCGTCCACCTCAATCATCTTCCTCCCAATGAACCTCTTCACGGAGAAGAAGGTGTTTTCGGGGTTCACCACCGCCTGACGCTTCGCGATTTGACCTACCAGCCGGTCGCCGCTCTTGGTGTAGGCCACCACAGAGGGAGTCGTTCTCTGGCCCTCTGCGTTGGTAATGATGGTGGGTTTGCCACCTTCCATGGCAGCGACGGCGGAGTTGGTGGTCCCCAAATCGATACCTACGACCTTTTCATTGACGACTCTTAGAGGGCGAACGTTGTACCCCCTTCTTCCGGTGGACTTGACCCTGAGAAATGCGGAGCGTGGGAAGGGCGTGGTGTTGAGCCTCTGGCCAAAGAATAGGGTTCGAGAATTGGAGTGAGTTTTGAAGGAAGCTGCGAAGGAGGGAGTTCCGAGGCCGTGTATCTGGGCACTTGAGGTAGCCATGTCTATCTATGAAGAGCTGAAGCCCTAATTTTATCCCTAATTCTGCAGAGAATGAGCGTAGGTGTGAAGAAGAGGAATAAGAAGGGTTTTGGTATGGAAGAAGAGGATGAGGGTTATGTTATGTGGTGTGTGGTGCCACGTGTACATATTCTAGAATCATCTCCTGCTTTCCCGTTCGACCTCGAGGGCACCATCTCCCTTTACTTTATTTTATACATTTTCTTTTTCATTTGTTCATCGCTGCCAAAGATCTTCCTTTATTATCAAAACTCTTCTTATCTACTCTGTCTCAATACAACACTCTTTTGTTACTTCCCAACACTCAAATATGTCTGTACACCTATCAAAAAATTTGGTTTTAACTTTATTGTTTGGATTGAAGAGTTGGCAATTGTTTATAACATTAAAAAATAAAACTTATATCCGAGTACAATAATCATATTTCATCACCATCTATTTGGTATATTGTGTAAATATTGACAATTTTATATAAAATGCGAACAAAGATTTAAGAAAATTATTTTGTCAATAATTAAGATAAAAACGAAAATTTAGACTCGATTATTTCTCAATTTTGTATAAAATTATTACAAGAATATTTTTTTCATTTGTTAGTTTTTAATATTTCTTTTAATTAAATCATTGCTTAGGAACATAATATAAATAACTTTATATAAATAATTTCTCAAATTATCGTAATAAATATGTAAATAAAAATTTAAAATTAGAAATAAATGATCTTTTAATTTTTATAGAAAACTTTTTTTATAATTTATTTTTATAAGTAAAAAATTTGTATATAAGTCTCTATATGTCTAATTAACTCTTTCTCTCTTATCTTTTAATCTTTATATATTTTTTTTAATTTAGTTTTTATAAGTAAAAAAATTTGTATATAAATTCTTACATGAACATTTATTTCAACTCTGTCCTTCACATTATAATAACAATTTTATATAAGTGTTAATGATATTTTTTTTTATTTTTAAAAGGAGTATTCTAAATTTTTTAAATATTATGATTAGCTTTATGTTTTAATTTATCTTACATAAGTATTATTCTTAGCATTTTCATTTTTGGTATCACTATTTGTGTGCTCCATCATATATCATCATAATCTTATTTTTTTTTCCTATTATCCTATCCCAATATCTCAATTTTTGAGTTGTGTCTAAAGTCAAAATTTTTCTTCTTTTATGTTATTGATACATTTGTAAGAAAATCATAAGCATTCTTTAAATTATCACTATAATTATCATTTTTTTATTTATACAACCACAATTTGACTATCTTAAAAAAAAAATAGCATTGAGATAATGATGATAAGAGAAGAGACAAAGACTATTATGAGAATATGATGAAAAAAATAAGTAATTATATTTGAGATAAAAATATTAGAGCTAATGCTCATGTAAAGACAAAACAAGACATGTACGATGAATATTGACATCATGAATTAAAAAAGTATGGAGTAAAATATGAGTTTTTTCTAGTATTTTTTTATTAATTATAATTATAATTTTTTTGATTGATTTGTCTATTTATCAAATCAATAAGGGTTTCATCTATCAATATGTATAGTCTTGGACCATAAATAATGATTTTTTTTAGAGTTTGGATACTTGATCGATTCACTTACTTCTATTATGTTAATATTAATTACTACTATTGGCATTTTGATTCTTATTTATAATGATAATTATATATCTCATGATCAAGGATTTGAGATTTTTTGCTTATATCACCTTTTTAATATTTCAATATTGGGTTTAGTTACTAGCTCGAATTTTATATAAATTTATATTTTTTCAGAATTGGTTGGAATGTGTTCTTATTTATTAATAGGTTTTTGGTTCACACGTTTTATTGTAGTAAATGTTTGGCAAAAAGCATTTGTAATGAATCTTATAGAAAATTTTGGTTTATTATTATGAATTTTAAATTTTTATTGGATAATAGGTAATCTAGAATTTTGAGATTTGTTTCAAATAGTCAGTAATTTGATTTATAACAATGAAGTTAATATTTTTTTTCTTACTTTATCTACCTTTTTGCTATTTTGTGGCTCCATTGCTAAATTTGTCCAATTTCCTCTTCATGTATAGTTACTAGAAGCTATGGAAGGGCCTACTCCCATTTTCGCTCTTATACATGTTGCTACTATGGTAGTGGTAGGAATTTTTCTTATAGCTCAACTTCTTTCTCTTTTTATAGTTTTACCTTATATAATGAATGAAATAGCTTTTATAGGTATAATAACAGTAGTCTTAAGAGCTACTTTAGTTATTGCACAAAAAGATATTAAGAAAGATTTGACATATTCCACAATGTTTCAATTGGATTATATAATATTAGCTCTAGGTATAGGATCTTATCTAGCCATTTTTATTTCATTTGATTATTTATGTTTATTCAAAAGCATTGTTATTTTTATGATCTTGATTTATTATTCATTCAATGGAAGCTATTGTTGGATATTCTCCAACTAAATGTAAAAATATGGTTCTTATTGGTGATTTAATAAACCATGTGCCAATAACAAAAATTATTTTTTAATAGATACATTTTCTCTGTGTGGTATTCCACCTTTTGCTTATTTTTGGTCTAAAGATGAGATTCTTAATGACAATTGATTGTATTCACCAATTTTTGAATCTATTTACTTGTTTTGGAAAGATATTTAAATATTTATTTTCTAAATTTCAATGGAAAAAAAAAATTTATTCTATTCAATATCTTTGTGGGGTAAAAGAAGAAAAAAGAAAAAAAAACAAAATTTATTTATTAGCTTTATTAAGAATGAAAATTAATAAAATGATTTTAAAAAAAAAACATATTCACATCGAATTCATGCAAAATATCAAAAGCATAACACATCTTTTTTCTTATAGTACCCATATTTTTATACTAAAAAACTGTTTGTTTATATCTTATGAATTGGATAATATTATATAATTTTCTATGCTTGTTTTAGTATTGTTAACTTTTTTGTTGGGCCATAGGAATATTTTTCTGCCAAAAAAAAAAAACAGTGATATATTATCAAGATCATTAATTCTGTTTACTGACCTTTTACATTAAAATTCAAAAAAATTTATAGCTTGATATGAATTTTTGACAAACATAACTTTTTTTTTATTCTAACATTGTTTGAAATATTTATAGCATCTATTTTTTTTTTTTTAATAAACCGATCTTTTTAGATTTACTAAATTTGAATTTATTCAATTTTTTAAAAAATATTCCTAAACAATTTCTTGCCAATAATATAATAAATGTCATATATGATTAGTCATATAATTGTAATTATATAAATACTTTTTATGAAATATCTTTAATTGGAAGTGTAAAAAAATTAAGTAAATTAAATTATTTTATGGATAGACAAGTAAATGATGGAATTCTAAATAGAATTAGTGTTACAAGTTTTTTTTAGGAGAAACTATTAAACATATAAGAGGTGAATGACTTTCTTCACATATTTTATTTTTTATATTTTAGAAGATAGTAAAAAAATATCACTTAATATTAATATAAAAATTTTATCATCATAATAAAGACGAAATTAAAAATAAATTTTTATATAAAAATATATATAATATTTTTTTATCTATAATAACTAAATTATAAAAATGAGTCTTGTATATAAATTAAAATAATTTAAATATATCATATTATATAGTGATAGAAACAAAATTTAAAATAAATTTTTATATAAAAATTAATATATAATTTTCTTACTTATAAGAATTAAATTATAAAAAAAAAGTCTTATACGAAAATTAAAAGATCGTTTATCTATTATAACTATTAATCGAATATTATTTTGTAATCACCAGCCATATTTAAAAAAATAAATTTAACTAAAAAGTTATATAATTTTTAGATAAATAATTTATTTTTATTTTTTTATTAATTTTTATATTATAAATATATTAAGTGAAATTACTCTCTTACCAATCATATATAACATTTATTATATTATCGATAAAAATTTATTTTAAGAACACTTTTTTTAAATAAATTGAATAAATTTAAATTTTATACCACTGAAAATATCAGTTTATAAAAAAAGATGCTATAAATATTTCAAAACACCTTAGAATCACAGAAAAGGTTATGTTTGTCAAAAATTCATACCAATTCATAAAATTTTCTCACAATTTATTTTATGTATTTTTTAATATTAAATATATTTTGAGAGTGATGTTTAAATTAGTTATTTTTTTAATGTAATAATTTTATTTTTTTTACTTTTTTAATTTTATGTTTATAATTTTTTTATTATTTTATATAACTTTTAATTTTTTTAAAATATTTTTATTTATAAAATTTATAATACTTAATATGGTATTTTTATTATTTTAAAATGAACTATATTTTAAAATTATAATAATTTAATTAAATTTTTATCATTTTAATATACATTATTTGTGATTATAAAATTAAAATATTTTTTAAAAAAAATAATATTTCAAATAATTTTATTATATACTGGGCGTATATTAAAATAAAATACACTCAAACTAGTTATCTATATTTTAATCAAATTTTGTTAAACCTACGAAGGCTGAGGCGCACAGAAAAATAAAAATCAAGAGAAGACGTGAATCCGGCGATGGATGAATGATGTGCCCAACAATTTCATTATTTGTAATTATTTTCAAGCAGCAGAACACATCATCGTCCTATTGCTGCAACTATGTTATTATTGTCTTGTCTACTCATATAGACAATGGATACAAGTGGTTTTTCTCAAGGCAAAAGAAGATTCCTATTTTCCACCTCATCGTCTCGTAATTTTATTAACCACTCATGTAACCCATTTTTCCAACTCTTTGAAAAATAAATAATCACAAGACAAGAGATGAATCTCAACATCTTGGTATAATTTTGCTTTAGTCAAATTATGTTGTTTACAGTTTGGTTTGGACAGTCGAAACACAGTAAAAAATTCTTCAAAAATATCAAATAATTTTAAAAGCGTATGGCTACTAAATCAGTGAGTAAGAAAATTGAAAAAAAGTGGCTAGCCTGTTGTTGTCACTAATTGGCATCATTGGGGTTGGAAAAAGCTGTTCTTGAGACATGTTCTGCATGAAATTGAGGTTTGAGGCCAAGAGAGCAAATGTCTCAGCCTTGTTACATTCTGCTAAAGCCTTTCCCTTTAGCATGTTCATTCTTTGATTACAAGCATCAAGCTTAGCTTCTCTTTCCATATTGAGTATTGAAAGAGTCATTCCATATTGAGTACATGGTTTTTAGCTTCTCTTTGCATTCTTCAGAAATCTCATCTTCAATCTTTTTCATCTTATCCTTAAAACATAAAA